GAAGAAGAGAAAAATAAAGGGAATCTTTAGTCTCTCTCTTGATCTTAAATATTTCGTTACTACAGAGCTACAGTAGTTAAATTACTATTGATCTCTGAGATTGAATTGCAATTTATAGCATTTCCAAACAAATACCTAGGAAGAAATCTCTTAATAATAAACATTCATATGTAATTTTTAGTTTAAAACCAAATTCTTTTGATAAATAGCCTGGAAGGGAATTTTCGTAGCTTTGGAGTTCTAAAACACATCCGACTGGTAGCCTCTACTTCTTATAATTCGACCTCCCATGCAACCCACACTATTGACTCTACCAAAATCCAATTCAACACAAAAACGAAAGAAATCAAAACAACTAGTCTTCTACCTTCCTTCCCTCCTTGTGTTAGTAATGAAATGAAAACTAAAACTTTCATCAAAGTCAACAAATTGGATTTCTTTTGAATTGGACCAAGGATATTCAGTAGGAATTATGCAAAATTTCGCAAATGCACCTCAACACAATCGCACTCTTAACGTGCTGTTTTCTAAGGAAATATGTAAATTACTAATCAGTTCGTCTAATGAAATGATATTAAATGATTTCCCAGAATTTCTGTTTAAGTAGCGCATTTGGAATTCTACCGAAAACGCATATAATGAAGAGTGGAAAAGGCAACAAAGGAGCAGCAAAAAAGCAAAGCTTAATGCGCAAAGGATCCACAGCAAGAACAAAACAACAAAGCAGGACAAATAAATCAACAAATCAAAGAACTTAACTGACAAATAAACGCAATGTGGAATGTAGAGTGACTGTGGCTTTGGCGCTATATATGTAGATGCGGTCGACAAACACAAGCATATGTAGCCCATCAGACGGACACAACAATGCCTTGTGTATTTTCTCGTATGTGTGTGTGTAAGGATAGTCGTGCATGAGAAATGACGAAGGCATGAGTGATTAGCATCGTTGGCGACGACGCCAGCGCCTATTATACGGATTAGCGTCGATGCTGGATGGTAGATGATGGTGGATGAGTGACTGACTGACGAGCATGTCCTCTAGTCTAAGATATTTATGTTGCCACATTTTAGGCGCTTCTCCAACAATTAGTCAAGAGCTAGTAGAACTTTCCAAATATTCCTAAACAACACTGTTGAGCATTAATTTTGTAAGTGGAATCAAACGATTTTTATGGCATTCTTTAGGCTTTCTATAAATAGCAGCGAAGAATGAAAGAAAGTTTATTTCCAATACCTAAAAACTTAGGTTTAATGTGATAACAAATTTAATTTTTAACTTTTTCCAAGAAGTTTCTTATTTACAAAAATATAATATGTAACTGACTTGCATTGTTATATGAAATCCATTCTTCAATTTAACAACAATAGACATCTCCAGAATACTCCAATGCCCATCTTTAGCAAAATTTAATTCATTTAGAGACAAGATGTGGGTGAAATTAATGCAAATCAGACCACAACTTCTTACTTTTTTCTTCTTTTTTGCTTACATGTCTCGCAGATAATAAATTTCTATAGAAAATTGACGCCTCTTAGCATTTGTTAGCAATAAGGCTAACGTGCCCTGCAGTATACTACATATTTCCCCCCTTCTAGGAATTGCCTTTTTGAAATTCTGCATATCAATTAACCCATTTGGGGCAAGCCAATTTGCTCGTACTTGCCACAGCCAACAGTCAGCAGCCACTTGGAAATCGAAGCAGCTCAAAAATAACACTCCACGTCCACTCCTTTCCAATGCACGCTCATTGCCAATTAAGTTTAATTGCCTGGCAGCTCCCGATGCTGCTTGCTGTTAGCTGCCTGGAGTGCCAACCAACTACTTCAAATATGCATACAAAGTGAGCGGTTAAAATCCTAAAAATGCAGCCCATTTTGTGGGGTCCGATGCGATGCCAGGCCCTGCATCTTGTGTGCCTATTCCAATTTTAACAATCAATTTATTTTGCAATAATTTTGCTGCTTTTGTGCCGCTCGTCCAACGCCCAAGCAACAAGCCAGAACAACAAGGAGCAACAAGAAGCAACAAGGACTGCCTCTGCTAGGCAGAGGTGGGCTTCACTATTCGGACGCATAAATTCATAAACGTTGCCATCCATATTCGTATTGCATATTTATACAATTATGTATATATTGAGTTGAGTGAGAGCGGCCCAAGCACTTCTAATTGACTGAATATTCGCCAGACTCTGTGAGTGTGTGTGTGTGTGTGTGTGAGTGCTCGGAGCGTGCAACAAATTACAAATGTTATTATGAATGTATTGTAGGAAATGGGAAACATTCTCACTGAGCTCATTACTGCTGCAATGCAAGATTCTGTTGAATGTTACATTCGAAAGACTTGACACAGTTGTTTGTGAATAGACAACGAAATCCATTTAAATGGATTTATTGATATGGAAACTGGAATAGAAGTACTCGTATAGTGCATTGTCAATTCAACTTGTAATGCAAATGAAATAATAGCATGAAACTACACGTATAATTTAAATTAAGAAGATTTGGTATTTACATTTGTTTTTTACATTCTCTATGATTTCAAAATACCTCAAAAAATGAACAATAATTATTTTATTGATTTATATATAGATATTTTTTATTTTATTCATACATTTTTTATTTAAATTAAATTTCTTTTTTTATTTTTAACAATTATTATATTTTTTAATTTTAATTATTTAATATATATTTTTTTATTTAATTATTTAATATATTTTTTATTTTAATTATTTAATATAATTAATTTTTGTTTTTCAGGTCATTTACTTATTTCACTTACAAGTATGTTGTTTAAATTAGTTTATTTTTTATTTTTACTAGTTTATTTCATTTGTTATTTAATTACCGTAAACATGTAAATTCAATACCTGATGCGATCGAAAAAACAGCATGTATTAGCCATCTCGTTCTTACACGGTGTCCTACGCAGATAGCATTTTCAGATTACGGCTCTTTCCCCTTGATTTAATATTGACAACAACAATAATATGTACAAACAGCATTGCAAGAAAGTAAACGCAACAACAAAAAACATCCAAACGACCCGCTCGATGCTCTGACTCTTCACTACTCTCTCTCTCTCTCTGCCGAACTCCTTTGTGGAGACTTTGTATTTGAAAGGCAAAAACTAATATTTTGCACATATTCATATTTTATAAAATTAGTGGCACTTACACGGTGTCCCACGCAGATAGTATTTTCAAATTACGGCATTTTTCACCTTGTTCCAATATTGGCAACAACAATAATACGAACGAATGGCTATGCAAGAAAGTAAACAACACAACAACAAAAAACATCCAAACGACCCGCTCGATGCTCTGACTCTTCACTACTCTCTCTCTCTCTCTGCCGAACTCCTTTGTGGAGACTTTGTATTTGAAAGGCAAAAACTAATATTTTGCACATATTCATATTTTATAAAATTAGTGGCACTTACACGGTGTCCCACGCAGATAGTATTTTCAAATTACGGCATTTTTCACCTTGTTCCAATATTGGCAACAACAATAATACGAACGAATGGCTATGCAAGAAAGTAAACAACACAACAACAAAGTCCATCCAAACGACTCGCTCGATGATCGGACTCTCCACTATTTTCTCTCGAACTCCTTTGTGGAGACTTAGTAATTGAATGGCAACAACTAAGATTTTTCACATATTTACAACATTTTATAAAATTAATGACGCCATACACATTTGCATACAACTCACACTTTAACTACACTAATTTATTTACATATTGTAATTATGTATATGCAACAACAAACACTACATTGGCAATGCAAAAGCATTTACATTTTTAGCCACGCGGCGTGGCGGCTGCCGCTTTAATTGCTCAACTTAATTAGAAAATCAAACTGATCCGTTAAATTGACGTTACTTTTATTAAATATAACTACGGAAATAAAATGCATTTCTCCGTATAATCATTTTGTTTTATTTAATTTTGGTCTAATTTCACTTTTCGCGAAGATTTGAGCAGGAGCTATACCGACGCCATCTACTCGCTGCCGCCCGCGCTCAATTACTGCCTTTCAACTGTCTTCGCTCCCCAATTACAGCTTCTTTTCTCTTCTCCTCTTTCGTGCTACAGTGGGCGAACGTAAGAGCGAGCAGCAGGTCAGCTATAATCGCCATTTAATTTTCATTTGATCTCTTACGCATTAAGAGAGTCAAAGCAAGAGAAGAAGATGTACCAGTCCCCGCTTAGACTTACCTGACAATCAAGAGTAGCATATTAACCTAGAAGCACGTAAACGTATTAACTTGAAATATGAAAAAATACAATGTTATAAATTATTAAAACATCACACACATACTTACATACATAAGTACATGCATAGACACAACAACAGCTAACAAAAGCCTACGTACGAGTAGAACATCAAATGTCTATGCATGTACATAAATCATTTCGCTGACAGATCGACTGTGGCATACACACACACACACATGCATATGTAGTCTGTGGCAGATATTTGTCGGTACACACACACACACACATATATACATAACTGTAAACTGCAGCTGGTCACGTAACTCATACGCACTGTTGGCACACACGTGCCACGCGCACAGCTGCCTGCATTTGCGAAGAAAACGCGGACCCCACGGAGCCGTGCAACACAACTCATATATCACTGTTTACTCACAGCCAGAGAAATTTAAAATTGCAAATAATATTAGAAGTGTGAGAAACAAGCAAAAATGAAACAAAAAATCACACATTATTTACACGAAAGCACAATTACAAAAGGCACGTCTGCGACTACCGAGACAAACACTTAACGTCGAACATAAGTATTTTGATTTCGTAATATACCTATATTTCGAGCTTGGCCCTAAAATAAAGCTGAAAAGTGGAAGCGTAGTTTGCTAGACTGCCACCACCACGTCTCAATTCCTGTGAAATCAGAATTTAACATTCTGTTTACAATTAAAGACAAACTGGTATTTTTTTTTAGTTTATAAAAATATATATTTACGCTTTGTTCAAATACTTGTATCAGCTAGTGTACATATAGCATACAGAAATACATATAAAAATCACTTTTATGGCACATTCGAGCTAAACCACTGGGACACTTAAGTACATCAATACATACATATAGAAATAAAAATGCCAAACAGACTACGACTGACCGCCGAACCCCTGCTTGGGCTGGAGGAGGAGCCCGCTTGGAGCCGAGGAGGGCCCCTCATCGCCAGCGCCCGTATGCAGCAGTCCGTAAAAGACAGAGTTGGGCTGCTGCTGCAACTGCTTAGGGTTGCCATCCTCCACAATGGAGCCCTGGTCGAGCACAATAACACGCTCGTAGTCGAGTATGGTGCTGAGACGATGCTGCATGAATCAAAATGCTTAACAAAAGTCGAATGGAATGGCATTCCCTCTACTCACGGCAATGGTTATAATTGTGCGACCCTTGAACGCCTTGTCCGCTGCCTTGAGCAGCGCCTGCTCCGTGCTGCTGTCGAGCGTACTTGTTGCTTCGTCCAGCACCAGACAGACAGACCCTCGCAGAATGGCACGTGCCAGGCAGAGTAATTGTCGATGTCCCGCGCTCAGGTTGGCGCCGACATCGTTGATTTCAGTATCTGCAGGTGATCATATGGAAGATGGGATAAAAACGACGCAACGTTTTAGTGCGTAATTAAAGTACTATTTAATAAGCATGTCTTTAGTACTGGTCCTTAAACGGGTTAGTCCTTGCAAAGTCGAACTCAATGGCACGCGTTTTAACCCTAACGAAGGGAATTAAGCAGCTGGCTGTAAAACGTTGTGTCCTCACATGACTATATGTGTGTGCCTATGACTGTAGTATGCTGAAGAGGTTTTTTTGTGGTTACAAACATTTACGCAACACAATTGGTAGAACATTTCACGGAACGTATTCACAAAAAGCCGATTAAATGCTCTTCTATTTCAAAATATTCAAAACCAAAAATATTAGTTTATATTTGAACAGTTAATCACTTAATCAGTCATTAGGTAAGCCTCTTATTTGTTATTTGATGATAAATTGTAATTATTTAAGCAATTAATTACGCCTAATTAGCACTAGCCATCTTTGTAAAATTTAATATCTAAGCACTTTTTCGACACGTAAAATTTTTTTAGATTGACATTTTTTGAATAAAAGCTCGCATTTTATCAATTAAGCATTTTATCAGCCTATGTAAATCCTTAAAAAACTACATGAAGTTAATGTTTTATGATTCAAATTGTATTTTACGATTCAAATATAATTGTATCCGTTAATCAGCATTTACTAATCATAAAAGAACTTAGATATTCATTTATAACTATAATTTAAATCTCTGTTTTATTTTTTAGGCAACTTAACAGCTTCATTAAGCATTAAGCTTATTGTATGGGCATTTCATGCCTATATACTTAAGTATAGATTTAAGTTTGTTGAAATAATCTGAATTGTAGATATAAGTTGTTTGAATTATCATTGAATTGTAGACTTAAATGTTAATTTGTAATAACAGCTGTTTATGTTAGTCTCTTGGTCGCTGTTAAGTTAATGTCCACATTATGTTATGCGTATGCTAAGCCTTGCATGGCTAGCAATAAAGCACTTGAAAATTGGAAGTCGATTTGTGCAGTTTACTTTCTTTCGTTTCGGTGCTCTTCAGTGTACATAAGCCAGTGCGTTCGTGCATATAAGTACAAGTGTACTTATATACATATATCTTTGAGTTGATCGTCGCGACGAGGGACCCCTTCACTTTGCCTACCGGCAACTTTGCATGATCTGAGCGATCATTTTGGCGCCCCCGGGTGGACTCATCGTGGTGACTTGTTGGACACTGGACATTGGGTCTGGAGTCATTCCTGCCATCTGGTTGTGTATCTGGAGATTTGGTTGGACTTTCCTATTTGCGGTTGTTGGCGATGCAGTGCCCAATTCCACAGGGAAGTTATACACAGGTAACGAGTGCAAATTAAATAGCGGCCAAATCTGTCTGATTGGAATTGGCACATACATATGTACATCCATATGTTAATTGTCTATAAAGGCACATATGTATGTGATTGTATGCGTTCAATGCTTTCGCATGACTAGGCCGCAATTTACATGTTGGCATTCGATTTGTTTTACCATATACCATATACATACATGCAGTAAACTTTTAAATAAATAAAGTTGAATATACATTTGTTGGTACGTGAGTGCATAATTTTTCATTTGGTCATACATACATGCAAAGTTGCCAACATACATACACACATGTATATATACACACATATATAAATACCTATGTATATACATTTGCGCTGTATATATGTACGTATAGCTGCTGTACTTTGGACCTTTATTATACCAACGTACCGCAAGAATTTGAAAGCGCCAAAGTTAGAGTTCAGCGCGCCTTTCTTCTATGCCGTTTGATTTTGGATTCTGCCTTTTGCGCTCTCTTCGTTATTGCCGCACTGGTCTAGCAACTGCAAGCTAGAGACAATTTCGCTTGCTTGTGCATTGTTGTTGCTGGACTAATTGCTAATTGCGCTGTGGTTCTTGTTGTTCTAATTGTTCTTTGCGCTGCTTGCGTTGCTTGCAAGTTCAGCCGTCGACGTGCGTCGCTCAGCTAGCGTCGACGTCATTCGTTTCCCTTACGGACATATTGTTGTTGCGTGGGTTCGCTGCTATCGTGCAGTGTGCATTTGTTCAACATTAATTCTAACAGCTGCGCGTCTCTCGCCTCTGTTATTTGTCAGCTGCTGTTAACATAGTTGCGTACATACATAGGTTTATACGTGCGTACAGTGCTGGCCACAACTGTAGACATTACATTTATTTATCATACAAAGTTAAAACTTTGCGCCTGCGCTTTCTTGCAAATAGTATACAGTGTATACATTTGTGTATATTTTTGTACATTGTGTATATTTTTCTGGACATAGTCCAATTATACATTTATACACTTTTAGTCGTGTGCAAACATTTAAAGACTCGCTACAAACATACCATCAAAACGCAGCAAGCAAACTTACGGCAAGCTGTCGGATGATTTGGAGTCGAGCAAGTTCGATGCATTATTGCAATCACACAACAATGTTGTCAGAGATATAGAACGCATTAAAGATTCCGTGCAAAATGCCACTAAGCCCATTGAGTCTGTTGAAATGGAGTGCCGGTTGAAAATTTTAACCAGATATATTGACAGAGCGTTCAATCTGCAGGAAGAGTTGGATCAAATCGATCCGGCCTTAGCCTCAAGAGCAGATTTAGAAAATTTGTGCGTCACGACAGAAACGCTGCTCATGAGTAAAGGTGTTCGGCCTAAGCCTCATAGGGATAGCCTGGCAAACTCTACAATGTTTGGATCAGGTTGCCATAGCAAGCAGCTGCCGTCGATGAAACTCCCAAAATTCAGTGGCGATTATTCGGAGTACAAAAATTTCATTGGTCTGTTCGAAAACTTGGTTGACCATGACGCATCTCTGACGAACATAGAGAAATTTAATCACTTGCTTTCTTGTTTGGACAAAGAAGCGCTTGGCACAGTCAAAGCTTATCAAGTGACTGATGCCAATTATCCAAAGGCGCTAGCAGCATTAAAACGAGTGTATGACAATAGTTGCCTAATCGTTTTCGACAGCGTGTCCAAGCTGTTCGACTTGCCCAAAATGCAAGGGCCGTCTGCTTCATCTTTGCGTTCCCTAATAGATAATGTAAGGGCAATTTATGAATCGCTGTTGTCATTGGGTGATGAGAAGCAAATAGCGAACGTCATTCTCATACATTTGGTTATGGGTAAAGTTGACTCCATCACTCGATCCAAATGGGAAGAGGGCCTTGACTACAGTCAACTTCCATCTTGGGAAGAATGCGAGGCCACTCTTAATAAACGCTACCAGCATCTGTCTGCTGAGGAGGCATCGTCTGGCCGGCCTAAGAAGCCAAGTTCCGATGGGTCAAAAAGGAATGGTAAAACGGCGTTGGCAGTAGCACAGCCAAGTCAGCCATTGACCCCTAAGTGTCCGTTTTGTCAGTCGAATGACCACTACATACAAGTATGTCCTCAATTTTCAGCGATCGCTAGAGATGAGCGTTTTAAATTTGTGAAACGGGTCCAGTTGTGCATAAACTGTTTGCGAAAGGGTCATACGACTAAATCCTGCAAGTCTGGTTGTTGCAGAGTCTGTTCGAAGCCGCATCACACGCTCTTGCACAAGTACGAATGTAGTTCGAACATTTCGCAAGCTGCGGCTTCTAGTCACACGTTGGTAGCACAATCGGCAGTACCAACGCAAACGTCGGCGGTAAACCACGCCACGACAGTGACTGACCAAGTAATCTTAGCAACAGCAATTGTTAAGGTAATGGACCAGTCAGGTTCCTACCAATTAGCCAGGGCACTTTTAGACTCTGGTTCGCAGGTCAATTTTATGACCGAGGACTTGGCCAGAGTCCTAAAGCTTAAGAGGGAGCGCAAAGACATTTGTTTATTAGGCATAGGCAAACGAAAGTCTGAAGTACGTCATATCGTTCAAACTTCTATAGCTTCTCGAATTGACAAATTTGAGCTGACGGCAGAATTCGCAGTGTTAAATAACATTTCTTCGTACCAGCCTGAAAAACTGGTAGTAGACGTTGACGTGCCTAACGGTTGTGAATTGGCAGATCCGCAATTCCATCGGCCGCAACGCATAGATCTGCTACTTGGGGCAGATGCATTTTTTGATTTGCTACGATCAGGGCAAATAAAGGGTACCAGTGACTCGCCGGCTTTGCAATTTACGGCACTTGGCTGGATTGTAGCTGGCCGTTGCCGTTCTGCGGGGTCAACTGAGCTGCCGTCAACATCGCTCGTGAGCTTAAATCAAAGCTCTTCGTCAAATCCAGAATGTCAGGAACTAGATAGTCTCATCCGTAAATTCTGGGAGCTGGAAGAAGTTCCAAATTTGTCCGATCAGAGTTTGTACACCCCAGAACAAGTGCTTTGCGAGAAAACATTTCTCGAATCGGTCAATCGCTTACCCTCGGGCAGGCTGACTGTTTCGTTGCCATTCAAATCCAGTCCCAAAAGTCTCGGAAATTCGTATGAGACAGCCTTAAGGCGGTTTTTGGCTCTGGAAAGAAGAATGGCAAAGCAGCCTGATACACAGTCGATGTACGTTACCTTTATGAAAGAGTACATTTCGTTGGGCCATATGAGTGCCATTGAGAACAGTGTACCGAGAGAGCCGCATTATTTTATACCGTACCAATGCGTGCTAAGGCCACAAAGCACATCAACAAAGTTGAGAGTCGTTTTCGACGCGTCTAGCAAGACGTCGTCACAATTGTCTTTAAATGACATCCTGATGGTTGGTCCAACCATACAGCCATGTCTATACTCAACATTGTTGCGATTTCGACTGCATCCATTCGCCCTGTCGGCAGACATTGCAAAAATGTACCGACAAGTCGAAATCAACGAATCGCATCGCAATTTCCAACTTATTATTTGGAGAAGCAACTCCACTGAACCACTCCAATTGTATCGTTTAAACACGGTAACATACGGTACTGCTTCGGCACCTTTTTTGGCAATTCGTTGCTTAAAGTACCTGAGTGAGCTACATGCGGTTTCCCATCCATTGGCATCAAAGTCGCTGGCTAGCGATTTCTATGTAGATGATCTGCTATCTGGAGCAGACACAGTGGAAGAATTGCGAATGTTACGGAATGAGCTAGTTTCAGTGCTCGAATCATTCGGTTTCACCTTAACGAAATGGGCATCAAATTGTGAAACATTTAAAGCGTCGCCTTCTGACGAAATGGTGATCGGCCATCAGGAGGATACGAAGACGTTGGGGCTCATTTGGAGCCCGCGTGAAGACGCTTTTAAATATTCGATGTCGAACATGTCGGTAGACATTGCCCCCACCAAGCGCTCGATTTTATCGTTTATATCCAGGTTATACGACCCTCTTGGTTTACTTTGTCCGATTATCACTCGACCAAAAATTCTGATGCAAGAAATTTGGCTTCAAAAATCCGCCTGGGATGACCAAATTCCCGACCATTTACTGTCCGACTTGCAGTCAATTGCGCAGTCATTTTGTGAGATTGAAGCTATACGCATTCCCCGGTATGTCGGCGTCACCAAAGGCACAAAGTGTCAGGTTCATGGCTTTGCCGACGCATCGACAAGGGCTTATGGGTGCTGTATTTACCTGCGAATTGAGCGAGAGCACACAGTAACTGTGAATTTACTGACTGCAAAGTCGAAGGTAGCGCCTCTGAAGACAAAGTCGGTGCCGCGCTTAGAATTGTGCGCAGCACAGTTGCTAGCAAATTTGTGGGAGAAAGCTCGGCATCTTCTCCATGTGCCTGTTGACCAAATCGTATTTTGGTCTGATTCAGAGGTAGTCCTGCATTGGTTGCAAACTCATCCTTCACATTTGAATACATTTGTCGCCAATAGAGTTGCTACCATACAGGAATTGACATCAGACGCCACTTGGCGCCATGTACCGACTGCAGAAAATCCAGCTGACTTAACTTCGCGTGGTTGTACCACTGCAGAATTGATTGATTCACATTGGTTTGGTGGTCCAAAGTTTTTACAGAATGACCAGAACCTTTGGCCAACTAATTCTCACATTAAGTTGACCAAAGAGCAATCAGTGCTGGAAAAGCGGAAGAATGCGACGGTTCTCATCGCGGCCGATAATGCTTCAAATCCAATTTTGGATTTAATTGAAAGGTCGTCGTCGTACTTAAAAATTCTCCGCATAGTGTCGTACATGTTTCGATTTATAAACGGAAAGGGGTCAGGACACATATCGCTTGTGCCAACTTCGACTGAATTGCACTTCGCCTTTTTAGCTATTGTGCACGTGATCCAGCACACTGCTCTCGCAGCCGAAATAGTCAAATTAGACAAGTCGGTGATCCTGCAACCGTCGTACCAAAAGCTTAATCCATTTGTGAGTCCGTATCAGTATGGAAAGCGTACTTTGATGTTGGTACGAGTTGGCGGCCGTTTACTCAAAGCGCCGTTGCCCCACAATGCGAGATTCCCATTACTCATGCCAAAGGGATGGCGATTTGTTAATTTATATCTGCGATACTTGCACCTTACCAATTGCCATGCAGGCCCTCGTGCGCTCTTGGCTATTCTTCGCCAGAATACTTGGCTGGTAAACGCTAAGCAAGCGTGCAACGCAGTGGTTCGGCAGTGTGTGCATTGTTTTCGATACAAGCCAATACTAGCCAACCAAATAATGGGAAATTTACCTGCTGATCGGATACATGGATGTAGGCCGTTTGAAGTCAGCGGAGTGGACTTTTGTGGTCCAATTCCTGTCACGCTGGGGATACGTGGCAGAGCGCCAGTTAAGATGTACGTTGCCGTCTTTGTTTGTTTTACGTCCAAAGCTGTGCACATTGATATCGTTTCTGACTTGACTGCTAATTCCTTTATAATGTGTTTATCCAGGTTTGTGGGTCGCCGTGGAGCAGTCAAGCGGCTATATTGCGACAATGCCACCAATTTTGTGGGTGCAGCGCGCTTGCTGGAGGAGTTTCGGGCCACTTTCATCAGGAACCAGGATGCCATCATGTCGTATGCTGCCACCAAGGGAATAACGTTCCAGTTTATTCCCCCTCGAGCGCCGCATTTCGGCGGCCTATGGGAAGCGGCGGTAAAGTCGGCAAAGGGGCTCCTCCTCAAGGCAATAGGAAGCGCCAAGCTGCGGCAGGACGAGCTAGCAACCGTACTGGTAGAGGTGGAGGCCATCCTCAATTCGCGGCCAATCGTGGTGGACGGAGCCAATCCCAACGACGGCGAGGCGATAACTCCAGCTCACCTACTCGTAGGCGGAACGCTCGTGCCGCTTCCAACCGGGTCAGGGCAGCCCGTGAGAGACGACAGGCTGACCTACTTGCAACGCTGGCAGCTGATCTCAGGCATCAAGCAGCGGTTTTGGGCAGACTGGTCAAAAGACTACCTGCTGAGCCTGCAGCAGCGCCAAAAGTGGGCAGTGGGTCGGCCAGATCTGGAAAACGGAACGATCGTACTCGTCCACGAGGACAACGCGCCGCCTCAGCAGTGGATGCTGGGAGTCGTCCAAGAGGCGATAAAAGGCGCAGATGGAAAAGTGCGCGTGGCGATAGTACGGACGAAGGCAGGAGAATTTAAGAGGGCAATTCATCGCTTGGCGCCTCTGCCAGTCGAGCTGTTTTGAAGCGAATCGCTTCAACGCGGCCGATGTATGGGCATTTCATGCCTATATACTTAAGTATAGATTTAAGTTTGTTGAAATAATCTGAATTGTAGATATAAGTTGTTTGAATTATCATTGAATTGTAGACTTAAATGTTAATTTGTAATAACAGCTGTTTATGTTAGTCTCTTGGTCGCTGTTAAGTTAATGTCCACATTATGTTATGCGTATGCTAAGCCTTGCATGGCTAGCAATAAAGCACTTGAAAATTGGAAGTCGATTTGTGCAGTTTACTTTCTTTCGTTTCGGTGCTCTTCAGTGTACATAAGCCAGTGCGTTCGTGCATATAAGTACAAGTGTACTTATATACATATATCTTTGAGTTGATCGTCGCGACGAGGGACCCCTTCACTTTGCCTACCGGCAACTTTGCATGATCTGAGCGATCACTTATATTTGTCTATTATTGTGATATTTTAAATATTTAAGAAGTTCGTCAGTTAAGTCAGCTGCCAGTTTGCTAGCCATAACTAATTATTAACCACTTTTTAGCTTATATTTGCTGATTAAAATTTAATACTTATGCTTTGAATTAGTTAATCAGCCGTAATGAATCATTAAACAATACTTTTATGCAGTTACTTAGTTAGACAGCCCTTATTAATTATTAGTTAAGCATTTAGTTTGATTAAAGTTAAATACTTAAGCAGTAAAGCAGTTAGTTTGTCGTGACTTATTATGATAGAACTTTAGTGCTTAAGCAGCTAGATATCTAATTGGCTTTAATTAGTCATAAATTAGTATGTGCATTAAGGCTAAAATATAATACTTAAATAGTTAGGAAGTTAATCAGACTTATCTTACCATTACGCAACACTAATTCGTATTTTGTTATTAAAAATTTCTAGTTTGTATTTTATAACAAAAATTACTTAATAACGAAGTTCAGCAACTAATGAGCCCTATTTAGACAGCTACGCAGCTAAATGGCTTAAAGCAATCATTTATTAGAATGCATTTAATTAATATTTGATTATTTAAATTGAACTTGTTAAAATTTATGACTTTGCTGGGAATTGAAGAATTTAGAATATATATATTTTTGTTATGCAGAAAATAATCGTGGTAGGGTTTAAAAATACTTTAAAGATGAGAAAATGGAGGGATAAGAAATAATAATATAGGTATCCACTTCTTTTTAATTTATTTAAATGAATCATATTTGTTTACTTTTGCTTCCAACTTTCTCTATGTCACGTTTTCTCAAAAATACGCACTATTTGTTTCCAGTCCATCATTTTCATTTACGCACACAACTGGCCACCGAACTGCCATTTCCTTTGAATGAGCAAAAACCTTAAAACGCCATTTAAATGCCTATTTCAAGCTGGTCTAGGGACTGTTCTGAGACTCTATGGCTCTGTGCCATAAAACAAGTCCGGAACCCACATGTGTGCCCACAATTGACAGATGTATTTTAAAAGTGCCTAATCAAGACGAGTTCTCGCAAAATGGCAACAGATGCCCCGTTCCTAGGCACACATCGATGGAGCCATAGAGTACTCGGCATGTTCCATGTATCCATGCGGCCCAATCAACACGAGAAATCAAACATGCATGAACTTTTACAGCAAACACCAAATGGCGAGCTAGGCTGGAGGGAGTGGCGAGGAAAGAGATGAAGGTTGGGAGAAAAAAAACTAAAAAACCAAACCGCCATCATGTTTGCTGCCAAAAAAGAAAAAAAAAAAAGAAAAACAAACAAATAAACATGATTTTTTCATAAAGCAAGCACAGCTCTTTCGACCCCCAAGCCCAACAGGAATCAAGGACCAGTTACTGTTTCTATTACTGCTGTTATTGTTGTTGTTGAAAATGTTGTTGTTGCTGTTATTGTTGTTGCTGTTATTGTTGTTGTTATTTCTGCACTCACCCAAACCCTCCGGCAACTGCACTTTGACAAACTCCTTGAGCTGCGCCAATTCGAGGCAATTCCACAATTGCAAATCCGAATAATAGCCGTGCGGATCTAGGTTTTCACGTACTGTTGCATTGAACAGATGCACATCCTGTGGTATTATTGATAATCGCGTGCGCAGCTCGTCCACTTGGATTTGCTCGATGTCCACGTCATCGATACGTATCTGGCCACTTGTCGTTTGCAATACACCGAATAGGGATAGGGCCAGCGATGATTTGCCGCTGCCCGTGCGGCCGCAGATGCCAATCTGCAAGAGAGAGAGACAGATAATAAAAGGGAGAGGCAGAGAGAACAAGTGGATTTTAGTGAGAGTCGCAGTAGCTTGTTTGCATCATGAGTGGATGGCTGCTTAGCCATGCATACTCGTACACCGTAAAAATCAAAGAGCTTCTAAAACTAATACACCTGCGTGCATGCGTGCATGCGTGCCCCAGGCAATTAAGAGAGACTTCAAAATGTAGGCGTTATTGTAAGAGAGTTTCAATTTTAGCCACACTTATAAATAGTAATTAAATGAGCAATTTTTATGCCCTTACTCCAAGAGTAAAAGGGTGTATGTAACTAGCAGAAGTAGGCGTGGCAGACCTCACAAAGTATATATGTGTTGGAATCCAAGATGCGCTACAATTAGAGAGAGCAACACGAAGTGGCCGACGCTGTAATGTCGCTCTCATTTGAAGCTTTGCTCTCTTGCCATTGCATTTCACCATACTATGTATAGACAGTTGCCAACAGAAGCTCGTTTCGATCGCATCGTTGAACCATCGTCATTTGTCATTTAATGTAAGCCAATCAATTCTTTACCCACAAACATTAAATATCGTCATTAAACGATCAAATATAAACACAATATTATAAGCCTCATCATAAACCAAGTATATAATAAATAAATAATTAAAGTATCAAAGTGAATAACTTTCGATCCTATGCTTGATCAGTATTGCAAACGAAAAAATCAATCACTTATAAAAACTTTGAGAAAACAAGGAGTTTACAGATATTCTTTTTTAAGGATTATCTAAGCAGCAGCATTTTCACCATGATTTATAAATTTCAACTTTTATTCATTCGCTCACAATTGAATGATTACTTTTGAGTTTTACTTAAAAAATTAATTAGCAATTATTGATGAGCAGCAAAAAAAACTTATAAAACAATGATTATGCTTTGAGTTTTTTTTTTTTATCAAATATAAAACTCAAGCTGTAATTTTGTCTTTATTTATATATATCCTTAATCAGTGATTCAAGGCAAACATTTTTCATTAATTCATTTTTTAATTAATATAAAATTTAAAGAAAAGCAAAGACTGCTAGAAAAATTTAAAGTTACTGATGAAGTCTAAGAAGAACATTAGCTATTGAAAATCAACATGGTCTGGAAAGCTTGGTTGGGCAAGATTACCGGGATGGATTACCGGAGGACGATGGAGGACGATGGAGGACGATTAACGATAAGAAAGTAGCGGCACACAGAAAGCTGTAATGCTATAAATAATATTTTTATATTTGAAATTTCAGAAACTGATAAATTATTCTTACATAAAAACTAATAAAAAAAAATAAAAATAAAAGCAAAGCTTGAAGACTATAAAATACAGAGTATAAGTTATGTAATTGAGACAAACAGAGAATCTACATATTAATTGAATACCACAGTGGAAATAATGGCAGTGTATTAATGCAATGCACTGTTCTCGTCGGCATTTGCGATTGAAATGCACATATGTAAGTACATATGTATGTATGTAGTTATGTATGTATTTATGTATACTAGCTGCTGTTAACTGTGAAATCGAATTGGAATAAATCGTGCTTCGCAGGCTACTTGGCCATGAATTTGGCTCAATACTTCCGGCGCCATGCCGCGTCCTGCCATTGTCGACAATATCTGTTTAAATATGCAACTTGAGCTGCTTAGCATTACAATGTTTGTAACTACATAAATATACTATATGTGTGTATGTGTGTTGACAGCATATATATAATACCTGTTTGCCGGTTGTCAATAACTAGCGCTGTTTTTTTTATTTCGTTTTTCATTGTCTTTGCAATTAGTTTTTGGTGGCGAAAGTGTATCGATTATTTTGAACTAAGCTGCAAAAAGCTGTAGCCCACTATTGGAAACAAAACGTATTCCATACACACAGATTTCAATTTGAATTTGTCGGCTTTGTCGTCAGCGAAACCCTTTTGACGATTTGATTTATTTATTTATTTATGCTGCCCATTCGCTCTAAATCCGTTTATTGCCTTTGTCTGAAATGTTTTCCAAATGTTTCAGCCGATGCATAAACAAGAGCATAAAAAACTAAGCAAAGGTCCTATGTGGTACGGAGATGTCATAAATTTGTGCAAATAAATAGAATTCCAGATATGTGTATGAAAAAACCACTAAATTATAAACAATATGTGTGAAAAGACCTTAGCTGCTATTAAAGTCGATGCTAAAAAGTCGGCTACATTTGGTCACTCATTTGTTTTGTAACACAATACTAACAATTTTTTCCAATAAAGAAGTTACGGGATGAAATTCGACACAAGGCTGCTTGAAATTTAAGATACAGTTCCCGGTTTGGTGGCCAACAAATTAAAAAAAAGAACTGAAATCCCTTACCTAATTTAATTATCAAGTTTCATTTTGAAGAAATTTCTTTCAAATCGTTTTCAAAACAATGGAATGTTGCCGGTCCTGGAGATCGGCCTGAACTTCTATCGCCTAGCAAGGCGACACAAACTATAAGCTGCAGTCTCAAATAGACCTCAATGGGGCTGTTAGAATCGTGGAAAGTAATATTTGAAGACCCTATATATATTATAGCTATACTATATAGTACATACATTCATACATTTTGATATTAGGAATTAAGCAGTAAAAAATACAAGTTTTACAAACGAGAAAAATCTGTTGAAATTGGGAAAACAGTTTAAAGATTAAAAGTCTTTAATTGTGTTGATATTATATTAAATTAAAATTATCAAATAGAATAGATAATTTCCCTATTTCTCTTTAATTTCTTGAGAGCATCTGAGCTTCGCACACATACTCATTTGTAGTTTGGTAATCCATTTAAGTTTAATAGGCTTAGCTTATGTATAAAACATAAAACATTGTAGCTCTTTTTTTATTGTTTATTATTCATGTTTTGGTTTACCTTTTGTTTGTTTTTACATTTTTTATGCATACTCATACTTTGTGGAAAGCATTTATTTTTGCGCAGTTGACCTTGTTTGATTTATTTATGGATTTCAGACTTTATTTTTAAACACTGCTGACATGTCCTTAAAGTGTTTTAGGGTTAAACAAAATTTCAGTCAGACCTGAAATCCCTTTAAAACATTTGCCACTTTTATGACATCTCTCCACTTGACGTTTTGATTTTCTTATTCATCCAAGGAGCTTGTCCATCAGTCAGTCGTGTTCCATGTTGCCGTTTGCACTGTCGCTGCTTATTGAGGCTGCCATTAAAACTTCAAAACCCTATCAATTTTATTTACAACTACTTTAGAAAATTTACAATATTTGCTAGCTGGTAACAAAGAGAAAAAAAGTCATGTATGTACATTAGCTTCAAAGCACCAATGGTAATATACCCTTTCAAATATGCTTCTTAGCTTTTCTGTAAACAAAACTGATTTCCTTTAAATATTTTTCTTAAACCAAATAGTGCCTAGGGCAGCAATATGATAATGTATGTACATGTTGTACATGTTTCATAGACTTTTCTTAAGCCTGATCGCTATTATGGCAGCTATATTGCATAGCAGTCTGATTCAAATTCAAGTATATATGGCAAGTTTTATAAATATAAAATATTATATATAAATATCATATAGTGATTCAATTTAACTGACTTGGCAGCTAGAAAATAGTCAGCTAAAAAGAAAAAATGCAGAAAGACGAAAATATGAACACTAATATATCATTTCGTTTCGTAATGCTTCATAAGCTGAGGGTCTGGAGCCTGCCAAAAATTTTCTGTTGCTACCAAAAACGGATCAAAAGGTATACAACCTTAACAAGGGTATTCCCATTTGTGCGCGCATAAGGCAGCGCTTCTTCTAACTTCATCGTGCCTTCCACAGACTTTTCAACTCCCAGTGCTCTCTTAGTACATACCAGTATATATGTATGTGTGTATATATGGTTAGGATATGCATGTGTGTCTGCAACAAGCTCTAATGATGATGGGCAGATATACTATTCGTCTATATGCGGACAGACATGGCTCCGGCTCCGGCTCCGGTTCTGCCTCTGTTTTTGTATTTGCCAACTTTCCATGCAGCTATTGACTTTTTTGCCAGACCACCCGACCAACCGAGCCGCTTGGCCATTGCATATGGCCCTTTGGTTGGCTTTGGTTAGTTTGCGGCCAAAGTGGATACCAGCATCGAGGCATTGGTTACACTTTGTTGGGGCTTCCATGCCCCATCTACTCGTATTTGCTGAGACTTTGTTTATTGCTGACTTCTTGCCCGCTTATTCAATATGCAGTTGGCCATTGGCAGAAGGTTTGCAGTTAGTTCATTTCTGTTGCTCGCTTTAAAAGGTCTTTGACTTGAACAAAGCAAAAATAAAGTAAATAAATCACTTACCCTTTGACCTGCTGGTATTTTCAATGTTAAATTCTTGATAACATCCTGCCTTTGTCCTTCATAACGCAAACTGACATTTTCGAACGCGATGTCGCCACGCTGGGGCCAAGAGATGGGAACGCTATGGTCTGCCATCAAACGGAAAAGATAAAATTATGTTAAACAACAACAATAACAGCAACAACAAAAATATACAAATATATGGAAAACAAATCGACGAGGCGTGCAAATTGCCAACTTTCAGCATTTTGGGCGCCCGCAAGTGTCACTCGGAAATGTTTCCAAACAAAAACAAACTGATGAGGGCTACCAATTTATAAAAAAAAACAACAACAAAAAGGGTCAGTTAGAGTCGACACACTAGAGCACGATTTTAGGTCCCAGACAGATCAGAAATCAAAGATTTAATCTGCCTTCCGATCTCCTAGTTGAATATACGTCTTCTCAGCATTTTCAGTCTGCGGTCGGACGTGCAAATATTTTGCGCAGCAGAGACAACTTTGAAAAGTAGATTTTTACGAAGCTATCTAGCTTTTTGTATAAAACTATGATTTCTTTTAATTGCATTCTACATCGGTATGCAAATTAATTGCCTGTCGGACCAGAAACTATTGATACCTACAGCTATAATGGCACCTTACAGTTCAATTCTTGATTCAGATACTTACATACATATGTAATCCATATCGCTACATAATTGATTCAAATAACCATAATATTCGAATTCACATTTTAATTTTTGCATGAACATACCTTATATTCGATAGTTGAATTGGGGAACATTTTATTAACTTTTGAACACACCTTATATTCGATACTTGATTTAGGGAACATTTTAATTACTTTTGTGTACAAAAACTATTATTTTCTGGGTACGACATTTAGTATAAAAGCTTTGTAATCTTATTTTTATACTCTGTACATGAAATGTACAAGAGTATATTAGGTTTGCGGGAGCTGAAAAATGTAACAGGCAGAAGGAGGCGTGGCAGACCCCACAAAGTATATATATTCTTGATCAGCATGTCTGTCTGTCTGTCCGTCTGTCCGTCTGTCCGTCCGTATGAACACCTGGATCTCAGAGACTATAAGAGATAGAGACACCAAATTTTGCACAAAGATGCGTTATGTGTGTATTCTATACGAGTTTGTTTTATTTTTTTGATTTTCCCCCCCACTTCCCCCCTATGGGGGTTTTCCCGATTTTCCATTCGTATAATCGCCTATATCTCGGAGACTATAAGACCTAGGAACACCAAATTTTAGTCCCAGATGCCTTATGTGAATACGCAGAAAATGTATATTTTGGAATTCCCCTCCCTCCCCCCTCTACCCCGCAAATCGTAACTCCCGTAATTCTTGGAATTTCGAACTAAAATTTTGGAAATACCCCCAGTTGGTTATTATGTGTCCGTATGCCAAATTTCATTATGATAGACCGATTTAACAAGAAGTTATAGCCATAAATATATTTGCTGATGCAGCGCTGCTGCAGCGCTGCTCAAGCGCTGCCCGCGGCTGTTGTTGATGTTGCTGTTTGGTTGACTGCGAAAATGCTTACACAGACACGAATAGATGCGCATAGGCATACATACACTCACACAGACGCAATTGCTATGTAAATGTGCAATTATACACCCTTTACGTGAGTTCGAATACCGAGAGAGGTAAAATCGATCAAATTTTTTTTTTTATTTTCTTAATTTTTGTATTTTCTATAATTATTGTAAACATATGTACAGAGTATTTCAAAGTCGGGACACCCGACTTTAGCTTTTTTACTTGTTTTAATAAGCATTGCGATTATGAAACATTTTAATTGAATTGGAAAACCTATCAGTATCGTATTTATTTGTGTGCCTTTTATAATCCATTTCGATACATTAACTACAATACCCTATTAGTTAGGAAAAATTCAATATCTAATGTATGTTCGATAATTTGGAGACTCACTTCGATGCTTTATGACTTAAGATACACTAAATTATTTCGGTACTGCATTCGATACATATCGATACTATAATACTTTCAATATCTTATTGCCAACATATTCAACTTGAGTAATTAATTATTTGAACAATATATTGCCGTATATATTGGCAATATTGAGTAATTACTTACTAGCAGCATTTTTTTTTGGTTTTTAAATTTTTATTTACAAAAAATTACTCACAATTTATAAAACCAGTATTCTGCTACCAATCTGGCAGCTTGGGCTAGTTGCAAATGGGTTTTTAAATAGCTTATAGCTTTAAATAACTGATAGCTTCTGGCTTTAATTCTCATCAATTCTTTAGACTGCCTAATTCGTATCAATCATAATCTATTTGATACGTTCGGCTATTGGACTGCCCTTGTTGCCAGTGTTGAGTTCGATTTCTTGCCATGCCTTCAAAAACATTGAACTGTTTTGCTGGTCTGAAGCTTTTTCTTTATGGCTGTTTGTGCCAGGCGCTGTTCGCGCAACTTTGCAACAATTTAGTGCAGCTTCAGTTTACATTCCGCTAAACTCTGCCAACAATTTAACACACCACTAGACTTTATCTCAAAGCTTTAACGCTGAACTATTTGCGAACTATCATAAATCAATTCGCAATCAATGAGCCATAAAATGGTTGCCAGCTAATTGAAGGTTAAAAGGTGGCAGCCATCCACTCCCACACTATATAGTATATACTTACAGCGCTTGACGGAGCGATGCCGTCGTTCCCGCTGCCGTGTTGCAGGCTCATTAGGTAACGCGACCTTGTCAGCTCCCAGTGCTGGCATTTCCTTATCTTTAATCACCGGTGCAGCGACGGTGCTGCAGGCCGGAGACGCCTCCAACTTGTCAACAACTGTCGTCGTGAGCAAGTTTAAGTGATTGCCGTCGCCGGCTGCAATGCCTGCATTTAATTTATCAGATTCGCCGTCTCCATCAACATCAACGGCAGCTGACGGTGCGCCTGGGCAAAGTTTGTCAGCAAAGGACGACCTATCGACTTCATTGCTGATTTCCACAACTTCCACATGCTCAGAGCTCTCCAGCTCCTGCTCCTGCTGCTCCTGCTGCTCCTTCTGCTGCTGCTCATCAAGCTGGGCATAGTATGCAATGCGTTCGACCGAGCCCGCATACATCTCCATATCGGCCCAAAGTTTTACAACCCAATTAAGGTAAATCGGCACCAACAACGTGTAGTTTATGGCCAGACCGACAAGCGAGGGTGTTGGTGTCAGTTCGCCTGCTGTCTCCTTCGAGTCGACTGTTGGCATGTTTTTATTGACGGCATAAGCCAGCTCCCCTCTCTCCCTCACATAGTTGCTGCAACTGACGCTTGCCGTCACCAGGGCCGTCACAATGGCCACAAAAACAATGCAACCGCCCAAGTAATCCTGCACGAAAAAGACCAAACAGAGCGAAAGAGTTAGAGAGTGAAAGAGGTAGAAAGAACGCCCAAAGAAAAGCATCAACAATTTTGTGTGGAAAGTTAATTTTAACAGGATGACACATTTTTTGGTACAACAACAATATGTTCTCAGAGATTCTAGCATAGAACTAGATAATTTTTAATTGAAGCAAGAAAGATGGAACTTTTCCCATTCCTAAATCATGGATCCTTACAGGTCTTTCAAACTGTTTTATTGCTTTCATTCGCATTAGATCGTACGACCATTTTAAAACCAAAACATGGCTAACATGGCAGTCAAAAACAATATATACATGCATATATATACAAATCAATGACACTTTTCGTTGTAATATTATAACCCAAGAACGGGCTCAACTATCCAAAGCAAAAGTTTAGGCTTTGTTCGGACTATCTAGTAGATGGTTTATGTAATGTTTGCACAAAATCGGGCGAGTTGTTCTTCATTTATCATATTTTTTGTAACAAATGAATTCAATAAATGGCGGATCATTTTGTTTATGAGGATTTTGCTGTCAAATTGAAACTTTTTTCAGATGGGGATTGTGGTGTGCATTTGGAGGAATCATGTTTTTCACATGGCAAACTTTATGTTGCCTGTGCCAGAGTCGATACCCCCAGCCGTTTGTTAATTAATAAAATATTCTTTATTTGAATAAATGAATTTGATGTTTCAATTAAATTTTTTTATTTATACGTAGTGAAGCACGTACCGGGCCGCTAGTCATATATAAAAACGTTTCGGAATCTATATTGAAACAGATATAGATGGTCTTAATCATACATATTATTATTAAGTGAATACTTTGATACTTTTCTAACAGTGTATGAGGACAAAGAGAGTGGTAGAGAATTTTTTTGAAGATTTCCCACACATGACCTTTTAATCAGGCCAAAGCTTAACAAGTCCAAATTTGTGGCCCTTTGCTGTTTGCTTTGCTAAACTGTCTTTCTTTCTACTTTCTTGTTAAGTAGTAGTACTAGTAGTAGATGTTTTTATTGTTGTTGTTGTTGTTGTTGTTGCTTCTTTCATCTTAATGAAAAGTGGCACAGTGGCGTTTGTTACCTAACCAAAGTCAAACCACAATTGAAAACTTTTGTTTGCTGTTTTTTCCCCCATTCGTTTCTTTTTAAGTAGGTGGCTTCCTACATCGACGTGCTGCTGTTTTCTGTGCCAACAACAACAACAACAACAAATCAAAACCGCTTCAACTGCCACACACATACATCAATAAAAAGAAATCTATATGCAACTACATTATAATACATTCAGTAACAAATCAGTATCAAACCCAAACTAAATTCTTCAATATTTTAAAATCCTTCGCATTCTATCTACAATAACGGCAAAAATATTATAAATTTGAAGCAACTTAATAGGAATATCAAGAATATCGACGAATATCGAAGATTGAGGATATAACAATGCAAAACATAATGCGTATACGTGCTGATGCTGATTAGCAGTTATTAGCAACATTATAAAATGGAAAATTAGGTTTTCTAAGTATTCATTTAAAATAATTCAGATACAGGGAAAACTCTTTTGTCCGGACACTCGTTTAATTTTTTGCCTATTTTCTTTTTTTCTATTTAGACAATTAAAATAAATTAAATTCATCCAATATAAATATATATAAGCATAAAAAAATGTCAGTTATGATTTATGTAAATACTTACAAATAATTACAACAATCAAAAAATAAATAAAAAATTTAAAAATTAAGATCCAAAATCATGAAATAACTTTACGTAATAAATAAAATACATTTAAAACCAATTATTAAGTAAACGCGCGCCATTGAGAAGTGCAATGCTTGGCTTTAGCAATAAAAACAGATATTCACTACTATTGCAAATTATTAGAAAATTAAAGTATTTTCCTTTAGCAACCATTCCACATTTAATTTATTTTGCAATATTTGTCCAAAATTGCAAATCTGAGAATAATTGTGAAATAATTGAATATCAAAATATCACAAATAGTGGAAGTTATAGGATATTTTATAAAAATAATAATAGATTATCAAAACGAATGTTCTACCAAAAATTGGGTGTCCGCTTAAAAGCAGTGCCCGTTAAGGGAGTTTTCACTTTATATGATTATAAATGCGCTTTGTGTGGCTTCCAATATTATATATTGACTAGATTTTAAGCTGCACCCTCCCCTTGGCCATTCCTGAAACAACTTAGCAGTGAATAATCGAATACTCGCTTTGTCAATTGTGTGTTCAGTAAAACAATCAATTTTGTAAACCTTATGCACATTTTAAATGCCACACATCAACACAATGTGCTACCAATTTGTACCTTATCAATGGACGCTTAAAATCCATAACAGACTGTCGAACAACGTGAACTACACCCGCCTATATGCTCGGGGTGAATCGATTTAGTGGACGGATGGTCAGGTGGGCGGTAAATGGGCAAATTACCTGTGCAGCCAATCGTCGGCACTCAGAGAAATACCTTTTTATCATTTCAACCAAATTTAAAACGTATTTAATTCTTTTTTAAAATGAAAGGGTGGGATACCCTTGAAGGGAAAAATGTTTAAGTGAAGCAACAGCTGAAATTTGAATTCTTTTAAAAACAAATTCAATGTTTTTTTTTATAATTATGAAAAAATACCTAAATAATATTGCAAAATAAGTGTTACGTTACAGAAAATATAGCGCTTCGTATTAGAAAATACAAATTAAGGTATTTTAGAAAAAAATGTATTAAATTTTGTAGAATTAAACGTAGAATACATTTGAATAAAAAAACGTTGTTTTCAGCAAAAAAAATATTACTATGAATAGTATTCAGTAAAAGCATGCTTTAAAAAAAATAAATATTTTGTCCAATTATCAGCACATATTTTCTGAGATTTAAAAAACAGTTTTTATATTCTTTATAAAATAGCGTGAACTCGCTTAAGTAGTTTATTTCTTTGTGGAAAGGTTTCGGATAAATATCAGACTCAAAACATCTTTCTAAAAATAAAAATAAACAAAATAAAAAATAAAAATAAACAATTTTTGGTTAAACAAAATATTTTTAAGTATTTCTGCATTCAAAATATTGTATTTTTAAGCTTTTTTGAATTCAAGCAAATTGTCGTAGCTTTTTTCAATTACTAAATGGTTATATATTATTTAAAGCGATTGGAAGGCCCTAGCAGGTAGTGCTTGTTATTGTATACTTGCTTTAATTTGTCAAAATAGAAAATAAATAATAATTGAAATATTATTTATAAAGAGTTTACTATAATAGAAGGCATAGTTAAATAATATAATTTTTAAACAATTTTTATATCAAATCATGTTTTCCAGCATTCAGTATTTTTGAAAACTATCTATGTGTTTTTTCGCTGTCGAGTGTTTTCTTTACCTGTAGAAATGGTAAGCCTATTTCAGTATTAAGGCAATACTTACAGTATAACAATTATACTTGTAGTATAATAATAAGGAGGCATTTAAATTCAAAAGTGTACAATATAATTTAGGATAATTGGGCTTCGTCCAACTAAATCGAACCAAACAAGTCAATTTTTCATAAACTATTACAGTTTTTTATTTGTATTAACCATTTTTCAAATCCGTGATATTTTACCGTCGCTTTCAACATATTGCTGAAAAGTGCTTTTTTAATTTGGAATTTTTGCAGAGTGCATTTATGGGAAATGTCTCACACGACTGTCCAACAAAGTGCCTGTCTAAGTGAAATGCCAATTCAAACACACACACATACACACACGCACACACAGCCACATTGCAGCAAACATAATATTGAGAAATCAATGTGCATAACTGGCATATTGCCTGCCTCTTGTTATTGTGCTCATATGCGAGTGTTTCCACACACATGCACACACACACAAACAAACAAACAGGAGACATGCCACTACCACCACTACACACTATACAACACACACACACAGAGACACACAAAGGACTTACCAATGATATGCCCAACCAACGATTACTGGTATTCAATATGGTAAATGCAATTGTGTTCGCCTCGAGACGTTTGAAGAGTATCTCTGTGAAACGTGCCTCCTGATTGTACGCTCGTATTGTGGTCACACCTTGTATTGTCTCCGACAGATGTGAGATGACCGGAGAGTTTGTTGAATTTTCAATGCGCTGCAGCTCCCTGGAAAGCCACACAAAGACAATAATAATATCATTTAGTTGTGGGTGATGGGTGATGGGCGATGGGGAAAAATGTAAAGTAAACCACAATTGAATTACTCTGCTGACGTTGTAGCATGCATTGTGATTAGTCATGGTCTAAGGACTGAACAAAAAATACATATATATAAACTCGTACATAGTATATGCAGTTGATTATATTAACTAAACTATTTGTGGCAAGCATTTTGGGCAGCCCTTTAGGAAATACACAAATCGATTTACACAGCCAATGTGTGAGAAAGTCATTTATAAACGAGGTTCAAACGAGGTTGTTTAATTTAAACGCATTTTAGCTTGAATTAAGAACATACTAAGGAATCAAGTTTTGAAATTTTTTAAGGAGTTTAGTTCAGAATGAAGTTTTGAAAGCTACTCCTACACTATTGAAATTTATTAAGGAGTTTAGTTTAAAATATAAATACCTACACTTTGTTTATCATTCCCTCGTTTACAGAAAAATTAAAAATTAATTAAAATTGTAAGTAAGAAACGTACTTTTCTCAATATTTACGCAAAACAACAAAATGTTGGCACATTATTCAAAACACAAATCTGCAGACCTATAAGTTTTGGAATATTTCAGTAAAAAGATATTCTCCACAATGATTTTATGTATTCAAATTTCTTTTTCAAAGCCAGCCACAATGCTACTCCGTTTCAACATTTCATAAACTTTCTCCGCCGAAAAGTTGCACAAAATATGCTTAAAAGACAATTATAAGCCACAAAATAGATAGGAATCTACTAATAGTGCTACTCACACTATCTAAACAAGGCACGAGCAAGCAACACAAAGCAAGAGTTATGGAAAATGGACAACAACAAGAACAACAAGAGCAAATAAACAAAATGCAAAATTCTTTTGTTTTTATTCTGCTGCTGTTCTTGTGCTTGTAACCAACTTTAACTGCTTATGGCCAAAAACTTCGGACGGCAAATGTTACTTACAGCTTGTGAACGCTCATCTGCCGGCTATGCCCCTATCTATGTGACAAAAGCAACAACAACAACAACAGCAACTACTACTACTACTGCTACAATAACAACAATGGCCTGCGGCTGAGTTGGGTGGCTGGTTGTGGCACTGTTTCCTAAACTTTTCTAAACAGACCAAAAAATGAGAGCCACAAAAATATTAAAACTATTAAATGGCTGCTGAGAAAGGAAAACGTAAGATTCGGCTCCAATGGGCGTGGCACAAAGGTATTCAACTTTAAATTGAAACGCAAATGTATGAATTAGAGTTGGACTTTCAACAATTTCAAATATCGGCTGTGGCGCAAAAAAATAAATACAAATAAATGTCTTAAATTAATCTATAATTTTTTTTGATTATCAATATTATTTCATTTGCCAATATAATATATATAATATATAATTGAAATATATTTTCGGTCGCTAAGCGTGTTATTTTTAATCGAAGAACCTTACTTTTTATGTTAATTATAAGATATATTTCAAACAAGAGTGTAAACAATCCATGTTGTTGGTAAAGTATTTGCAATTTAAGCCTTACTAAGTGAAAAAGCCGGGGTGTAAAGTTCTTAACTGTACAATTAAGAGAATAATCTGTACAACGTTTCTGCTGCCAGATTAATACAAATGAGCATTTCCATGAAAGTGCCAAAAAAATCACATGAAAACGATCATTATACCCTGTACCCAAAGGGTACAAGGGTATATTAGTTTTGTGCGAGTGCACATGGAACACACAGAAGGAGGCTTGGTAGACCCCACAAAGTATATATATTCTTGATCAGCATGACAAGCCGAGTCGATATAGCCATGTCCGTCTGTCCGTCTGTCTGTCCGTCTGTCCGTCTGTCTGTCTGTCTGTATGAACGCAAGGATCTCCGAAAGTATAAGAGCTAGAATAACCAAACTTGGTATACAGATTCTCCTGAGACCGAGAAAGGACAAGTTTGTTCATTTTTTCTGATCCACCCCCCCACTCCCCCCCCCTATTAACGATTTTCTATAACTCCCGTAATTCTTGGAATTCTGAACTGAAATTTGGTAGACACATCCAGTTAGTAATTGTATATCCGTATACCAAGTTTCATTATGATAAAATGATCGGAAAGAAAGTTATAGCCATATAACCAGGCCCAATGCACACATACATACATATGTACAAGTACACAAACACGCATAAGGCACGATTCTGATGTAAATGTAAATGTATGTATGCATGCATGGAATATTTTATATTTAATTAGTTAATATTTAGTTAATTAATTAAATTAATTTAGTTAATTAATTTAATTTAATTAATTAATTAATTAAATTACTTTTTTATGGGGTGGTACAGGGTATTTAAGAGTTGAGCCTGCTCTACTTTAGCATTCCTTTCTTGTTTTTTGTTGTTAATGGGCCTAACTTATAATTGTGACAAATTCAAAGGTGGTTTTCGCGGCCACCAGCTTAAGCCCAGATTTTAGCTAAACCTAAGGCAATTTATTAATGTGACTAATCTTAGGAGGTCGTGCATTGATGTCTATTAAAAATGATTTTGATTTTACCCAAAAATTATTTACACTTTTTGTGCAATTAAATTTTAAGCGCGTTCGCACGGACATATTTGCCATCATGATTTATATGTTATTTTGTTATTTTTTTATTAAATTATATATGAGAAAAGCTTGGTGAAAATGTTTTTTGAGTTAACAGAAGTATTATATGTATTTATTTTCTCATATAAATTAAACAACAATTTGTATGATGGAAAAATGTTTGTGAGTATTAAGTATTAAATGCAATAATCAAAAATAAATTTAAACGCAAATGTTATTACTAAAATGGGAAAATTTCCATTTGAATATCTCGTAAAGTGTTATAAATAATTGTAAAGTTTGCTTAAATTTTTAAATTCGATTGTTTTTCTATAAAGCTATGAAAATAAGACTCAACTCTTAGTTTAAGCTGTATTTGTATATTTCCTATAAGTTTCATTTAAGTTGTTGTAAATAATAACAATATAATTAAAGTTTTGCATTAAAAAAAAAACAAAAAAAATAAGTTTAAGAACTATTAATGTTTTGGTCTCGGTGGATCTTTCACTGAAAATACCCATATACTTAGTACGTCGTTTTTTAAACTATAGCGTGCATCTACAACCAATATATATCATAAAATATAATTTCATTTTTCATGTAAAACATTGTAAGTAAGGTATATACATAGATGTAAGTGCGTCCTATAGATGCTTACTATAGACAACTTTTGTATTCCCTAACTTTCAACTAGCTTAAGCTGCCATATTGGTAGTAGAAAATTAGTTTAATAAATTGTATATATGTAATAAAATCTACAACCAATTTAAATACATGCCCCTTTCCGCACATGTCTCTAAACAATTCCCCAAAGGTTGTTAAAAATCAAATAACAACACGATACATTTTTGTAGGCAAGATGTATGATTGATGTCCATCTCTAGCATGTGCGCTTATAACGGTTTTCTACAATTTCTCGAAGCGAGCGCAGCCTTATTGCAAGCATGTCTCACAAAAGTATGCTATGAAAAATGACGCCTCACAAATGTTTGCCATTAGTTAGAATGTGAGTATGTTTGAATGTTGGAATGTACATAGGTGTGTAGGTGTGAGTGAACTTACCTCGCCGAACACCTGTAGAACTTCTGTATAAAATAATAGGCTCCACAAATTGGCAACGTTAGAGCCAAAAACCAGGGCGTCACACTCACATTTATCAATATGGCGAACACGCAGAGCAACGTAAATTGTAACAGTCGTTGACTTGTTGCAGCGATTTTCTGTAAATGAAAATATATGAATGGCTGGTTGGCAGGTTGGTTGGTTGGTTGGTTGGGTGTAACACAATTTTGAATGTTCATGCATGTGTATGTGTGTGTGTGTGTGATGGTGTGGCTGTGGCTTTCTGGGTTGACATTTTCAAATGACTTTTGCTCGTTTGCGGGCATTTTTCGGCCAACAAATTGACAAATGACTAAATTTGTGTACGTCATACATACGGATATATGTACACGTAGCATGCATGCCAGAGTGTGTGTGGGTGTGTGTGTGTGGGTGTGTGTGTGTTTGCACTGTTGTTATTTGCCAACATATTCAATATAGAGATCTATGTACTCGTATGTATGTTTGCACATTTGACAAATGCTTGTCACGAGCGCTACAAACAAAACCCATGTATCATAATCAAATTTTTGCCAGCAATCGTGCTAATTTTCAAAAACTGTGTACTTGTGCAGGAGAATGTGCCATGATGATGATGCTAATGATGATGACGAAGATATATTTCTCTTCTTTTTCAGATGCATACCCATTTGCACAACATGATTAGTCTTATGTAGAAACTAAACGTAAAGATAAATTTTAGCAATTTTTATACCCTGTACCCGTAGGGTAAAAAGGGTATATTAGGTTAGTGCAAAGTATGTAACATACAGAAGGAAGCATCTCCGACCCCATAAAGTATATATATTCTTGATCAGCATGACGAGAGAAATCGATCTAGACATGTCCGTCCGTCCGTCCGTCTGTCCGTCTGTCCGTCCGTCTGTCCGTCCGTCTGTCCGTCCGTCTGGATGAACGCGAGGATCTCAGAAACTATAAAAGCTAGAATAACCAAAGTTGGCATCCAGATTCTCCTAAGTCCGAGTAAGGACGAGTTTATTTTATTTTTTTGGATTTTCCCCCCCTCCCCCCGCTACAGAATTTCGTCAAAAGCGTCTACATTTCAAATGCTACCTAAACCAAACTTTGCACACATAATTTATATATAATTGTCTACTGTTGTATAAAATTTTAAAAATTTCAATTCGGTCAATTCTAAGAAAAGTTATTAGCGAAACAAATTCTCTACAGTACAATCCCCCCAAACTGCAGCAACAAGTTCGCTCTTCTTCTTCCTCTTTTTGCTGCTGCTATGGGCGCATATAACTCAGTGTCGGAAGTTTACATGGGTACAGGGTATTACACTGTCGGGCTTGCTCGACTGTAGCGTTCTCTCTTGTTATTTCTACAAAGTTGCCGTTCCACTAATTGGCATAACTTCTTTTGTGTTTGAAGCAATATTTTTTGATTCCCAAAACTTTTACAAATAGGCTATCGAAAGCAGAAATTTTGTAAAATCAATTAATTGTCAATTAATTTGATCAACAAAAATGTCTTGTTTAGCCGAGAGGCAGATAGATAGATAGAGAGGTTTATAATCAGGCGCCAGAAAACACTGAATATCTACTAGACTCTCAGCCACCGAGTGTTAGATAGAAACGGGATGGTCGACTCTCTTCCAAAAGAAGAAGCAGAGCTAACAAAAGCGTTTTACGAAGGAAAAAGCCATGGAAATGCTCTGTTAACTGAAGGATCGCCTACGTGAAGAGATAAAACCTCACCTAATGAATGAAAAAGGAATACAGACTAACCACCGGCCCAGTTACAGCTCACAGCTGTTGGATACAACAACAGATGACAGATGCAGGAAATAAACAGAAGCGATCGAAAAGTTTGAATATATTCTACGCTACTATCCAGCACTCAAAACGGACCGAACCAAATACCTCACAAGATTGCCCAACAGAAGGCAACAGAAGGCCAGTCCACGACATAATGATGAATCTATGATCTCCAATACTAAGGACCAATTTGTGTCTATAGTGGGCTGTTAATGATGGTATTATTTGATATAAATATTACGATTTAATGGCGCCCCTTAGCATATTGATATTTTTCAAACACACTTTGTTCGCTAAATCAAATTTTGTCATCAACAAATACGCGCTTCTCTCTACATATTTGATATTAATATACGACGTAATTAATATCACTTTTTTCTTTAAAACGGTTTTCATTGCAATGGTGCATAAGCGCATTTCCCTCTCACGGATTATTGGAAAATATTTCAGCAACCAAACTAAATTCATTTATTTAATTTATTCAATTTCCAATTCCGGCTACTTTAATTGCTCTTTGAAATATGGCCAACTTCAATGAAATCCCTTTACAATTTTCAAATTTTGTTTACCTAAAGCCCCACTAAATTGCAAAACTATAACCCAAACAATCGCACACAATTCCAGCAAAATAATGTCAACAAACTCATATATCACTAAGCTCACGGCCAATGCATAATGCGTGCTTATCAGTTGCAAATCTAAACCACAAACACGCACACATACCCACACATACACGTGCATACTATATACGAGTTACTATATAAGCTAGTAACAACAACAGCAACAACAGCAGACTGAAACAGACGCCAATGTGCTCATATTTTATGCCAACCATCATTTAAAAAAAAAGACAACCAGAATTTAGTGTATATCCGCACGCATAGCTACTCATATACCCTACAGTACAACGAATAAGTACACGTTTAAAGCTCTCTGTGCAATTGGTAGTACTAAGCTGCTAGCAACTCTTCTGAACTTATAAGTGTGAGTTGCTAAAGTTACATTTTTTCGTGCCTAATAGAAGCAAGTAGTTTCACTATTGAAATCACCATGTTCGTGGGATTAAAGGATAACTTTGAATTTTACAAATGGAATACCCTACAATACGTCAAGACTCCACTATTGCAACTTTAATGCTTCTAACATAAGCGGACCTAGCATTGTGATGTTTTAAATTTGAATCAAAATACCTTTCGCTTGACAATATCAAATTATTTTTTATGAAATTACGCAATCCCTCGAATTGGAACTAGGGAACTGTTGGTTGGCAATTGGATGGAAAAACCATATTGAGAATATCGTACAAGTACAGCTAAAAACTTGGCAAAATAAATCATAGAACCATACCACTCTCTTTAGAATATTTGATTTTATTCATCCAAAATAAGAAGAACACACCACAGTATAAAAGTTGAGGGGAAACCGACTGAGATCTAAGTCTCAAGGCAAGGAAATGTATAAAGCTGATAGGTCGAATCATTTAGTGGGAAAAAGATGAAATAATTACGTGACAAAAGTTTAGAAAAAGAATAACTTTTTTAAACAAAGCACATCAGTTGAAATCCGGTAAAAAGAGCTTAGCTGTAAATGTAGAACCAGTCTTAGGGACTGGCTGTAAAATCACAGCCAGAATCTCTGTATGGGCTTTTTCTATCCAAAGAAAGCTGAAAGTATTGTCCTTCAGAATACTTTGCAGTTTTGTAACTAATGGCAACAAATATGTATTCCCGTTGTATTCCATTTGGAATTCTTAGAACTTACTAATAAATGAACTGAAATCAAAAACCAAAGGTTCTTAGTATTATTACTAATAATATTATTGAATTATTAGAACTGTTAATTGTTCGAAGAAATTACCAATTTGGTAACTACGAGTAAAACCTCAGATGCTGCAGGTGCAGATGTACACACAAATATATATATATATGTATATGTACTAATAATGTATGTGTGTGTGTGAGTGGTTTGTGCCTATGTGTGTGCGTGTGTTAATGACAACCAAACCACAAAAACAACAACAACAAATCTTACCTTATCAATGATCGCCATATCGTTACTGAAACGATTCACGATGCGTCCGAGCGGTGTCACTTGAAAAAAGTGCAAACTTTTATGCAAAATCGTTTGCAACAGTTTATCGTGCAAATTACGACGGGCATTACATCCGGCCCATTGTCCGGCCGGTGTTGATATCATGGCCATTATAATGCAAACACACGAAATTGTTGCATACATACAAAAGTAGTACGTGACTTCGTGGTCCATATCCACATCCAGATCCATGTCCAGTTCCACATCACCAGCAGGCACAGCCACAGCCACAGCCACATGATTCGTCCAACGTTGAAGCCAAACGTCCGTGTAGACACGCAAACATTGCCAAATTAGTGCGGTGATAAAAAAGGTAATGATTATGGGTAGACCGGAGGCGCGCATGTACAGCATATATATGTGATGCGATATCTGACCATATTTGCGTTCAGCATCGCCGCCAGTTGTGGGTGCAGGTGCAGGTGCAAGTGCAGGTGCGGGTTCAGGTGAAGGTGGAACTCCAACTCCGGCATTTGCATCCGTTTGCGACTGCACTTGGCTCACGTTTGCCACGTCAATGTCGTTTTGTGGCTCGCTCCGGTTGCAACCATTCGCTGTCACTGCTTTGTAGTCAATATTGACATCTGCGAGGGATGGCAAGACAAAACGAGAAACAAAATCAAAAGGATATGCCATAAGTGGAAAAGGTGGAACCAACCAACCATCCATTGAGTGAGCAGTAAAATATTTGTTTGTGCTATTTAAAGATTCAATTGTGAACGCAAGCAACTCAACAGGGTGGTCAGCGTCGTTGCAAATCAAAATACATATTCAATTCAATTTATGAAATCTTAGAAAAGCCACAGCTTTGTTAAAACTACATTTAAATTGTTACATGGTTATTAATTTGTAAAAAAAATTTTATAATTTAGGGGCATAGCTTGCTTGGTTCAAAAATATTCCCCCCGCGGGTCAGAAATTCCTTTTTTCATTTATTTATAGTTTTATTTAATTAATTAGTTAGTAATTCGCTTAAGTTTAATTTCTCTTACAAGTGTTTAGTTGCAAATGTTTATTTTTTGGAATGTTTGCACACAAATCTTTGAACGACTCTGACTAACAATGGCTGCCTCCATGGAGTCGAAGCCGTTTATTAGACATAATTGTAATTTGATTGGATTTCCCTATTGTGAACCTTTATTGTTTATGACGAGAGCTTGTGCTTGTCGACATATAATAAAATAAACAAATAAATAAATCAAATAATAATAGTTTTAATTTTCTAATAAGCCTTTCGCAGTATTCGATCCCATTTTCCTAAAATGCTTTTGCTTCACCTATGGTTCAGCATTATCATTGAGGAGCATATAACTCCAAGTTCGGTTGTAACACCATCCTACATGTCTACTCATACTTGTAATACAGCTGAAGCGAAAGCAATCCTCACTGCAATAACAATGAACACACACAAGCACAATTAGGGACAAGATCTTCGCAAACCATAAACAAATTCAACTAATACGAACACCAGAGACATGCAGGAATAAAAGCAAAAGAGCAGCAAAAGCCGCCTCAATAGCCCCACCAATCGTCACATCTTTTACCAAGATTTTAATTAATCCAAAATACCAATAAGCTAAGTAGTAACAGTGTTTAATTATCTTGTACCGGCATTTTAATAAATATTGCTCATTCGTTTAGTGACCGCAGCATAAAACGCAACAGGATCGCATTGAATTGGTTTAAAAATGTTTTTATGCATTTTGTTGTTGTTTCTCTAATAACTTTTACATCTTAAGACAACAATTAAAATGAAGTAATATTTATTCTAGCTTATGAAGCCTCGAAATTGTGCACAGCTTTAGATAAACTCCTAATGCTTAGAAACTAAAATTATTGACATAGTACAAAGTTTGACCAACATAGGCTACGCAGCTTCCGCAATCGAGGCGTCCATTCAGGCAGACAGAATGGGTTTAAATCGCTTTGTTTTGCCATGATTATTAATAAAATATAGTACGTACATATTTACGAGTATGTGCCTTCTTGATTCAGAGATGCTTCGATCGGTAAAAACCAGGCACTTTGTATCGTACGATTAATTCCCTGGCACAATTATATTTATAAACAAGTAGCTTATTAGTTTTTAGATTTTTCGATTTTTTCATTCAGAGATGCTTCGATCGGTAAAAACCAGGCATTATTTCCTCTGGCTATGAAATCACTTTGTATCGTACGATTAATTCCCAGACACAATTATATTTATAAACAAGTAGCTTATTAGTTTTTAGATTTTTAGATTTATTCATTCAGAGATTCTTCGATCGGTAAAAACCAGGCATTATTTTCTCTGGCTATGAAATCACTTTGTAAAGTACGAATAATTCCCAGACACAATTATATTTATAAACAAGTAGCTTATTAGTTTTTTTTATTATTTTCTCTGGCTATGAAATCACTTTGTAAAGTACGAATAATTCCCAGACACAATTATATTTATAACCAAGTAGCTTATTAATTTTTTAAAATAATATAACAATAATTATTTACCTTTGTAAGAAGCTTTGACTATTTTTATGTCTCTTACTGGTCTTTTTATTTACTATTTTCTCTCGCATGCCAGAAGTCTATTTCTGCGTACCGGCTTTAGTTTTCAATACGCTGCCAAAAATGTATCCCTAGTTTTCCAGTTGGTGTCCAAGCTCTGATACAGAAGCATTGTGTAGTATTATGTTCTTTCATCACCCTACCCTGAAAATGTTGCCTTTCAACTGTTCCCTCACCTATTCCCTCACCTGTTCCCCTATCTGTTCTCCCACCTGTACCCTTAGCCACATCGCCATGCTATCAATGCGCTTCCTTTTTTTGCTCCCGTTTGTTTCAATAAAAATTCAATTTTATATTCATTCACACACACAACCACACACATTGATGCACGGCAGCATTGACGCGAAAGTTAAACAAAACAATAAAATTTCAAAAAAAATAGTGTACTATATATGCATAAAGGTATGTTTTTCATTATTCATACAAGTATGCGCCCGCTTTTGTTTGTTTGTTTATCTTTTACACGCGTGCGTTTTTGTTGGTGTTTTATTAATATTTATTTCGTTGTTGCTACGCTTTTTTCAATGTGCAACATGTTGCAAATAGCATTTAACCTGCTGTGGTGCCAGGCACAGTGAAATTATGAATTGCGTGTTGCACACACACTTTTAGCAGACACTGTCAGCCATTCTTTGCATTTCAATTTTCAGAACACTTTCATTTCATATGCAATTAATGGCCCCCCTTCCACCGTGTTGATAGTTTTACTTTCAACATTAAATCGGCTAAGATGTAAAGCATACAAGTGTTCAAATCGGAGAAAAAATAAAGTACTAGATTGTTCAGATGTATCAAAAATTTAAAGCAGATTTATAAAAGTTTTTATTCTTTCAAGAAAAGGTTGTTTAAAGTGGAACCCCTTTCCATTTCATATTACTTATATAATATAGATAGTAATAGAATCAAAATCAGTAATACTTATACCCAGTAGGAACTAATGCTGAAATGGGAACCAGTATTGAAGCCAATAGTGTAACCACTAACAGAGTCAGTAACAGAAATAGTAAAGCAACCTATTAACTTATGGAATCAGTAACGAAACCAGTAACGGATCTAGCACCAAGGGAAAGTATTACTTATTGTTAAAACCAAAAAAAAACTAGTAACTAAACTAGTAAGAACCCAAAAGAAAAGCTCTAAGAAACCGTCGTGGAACAAAATAGAATATTGAAATGGTAAGCAGTTCTAAATTCAGTAACGAAAGCAGCATTGAAACTAGTTCTGAAACCAGCAATATTGAAACCGGACACCGAGCAAATTATATGTTTAAATTCTTAAAATCTGTAGTATTTTCCATAACTTTAATTATGTATCTTTAATTTAAAAGTCGAATCGATGGACAAGATAGCTAGTACTTCTAAGTTGTAATAATTTTAATACACTTTATATAGCAACTACTATAAAAAAATAATGAAACCAGAAACAAACCGATACAGAACTCGAAATGGAATAAACTTAGTAAAGAAATTAGTACAGGCGCCAATATCGAATACAGCACGTAGAGAAGAGATACAATAATATATATAAATAGATAAGTATGTTCGATTCTGCTTTGTTCCACCATGATAAACAAAAGTCGCATAAGCTAGTTGAGAATCACAAGTAGTCGCAAATGAAAATTAATCAAAAAAGAAGCATACTCATTGTCCCTAAAAATAAATGTTATATTGGGGAAGAGCAGCATACGAAAATCTCCAATTTAAATTGACAAAAAAGATAAGAATATTGAAGAAGAATATTTGATATAATAATATTAGTTTTGCCTTTTGAGCTAATTAACAATTACTTTCGCTTTAAACTTCAATTCAAATTTGCAAATATATGTACTAATACGCTCAAACGGAGACAAACACACAGAAGAGGCAGAAAGCGCAGCCCCAAATAATTTAATTGCCTCATTTAACATTTTAGCTAATTAAAAGGCGCAGCCTTGTAATCCTTGTAATCATTGCAGAGCCCCAGAGCCGTTTTGTTTAGCGCTATCGATAAACGGGCGAGAATGCATCAAAGTTGGTAGCGAAAACTTTTGCATTGGCTGCCGTTCTCCGCACTTCTCAGCATCCCCCTCCGCCGAGTGCCGAGTGCCGTTTGTCGTAATGAATATTGATTAGTTTGAATTTATTTCCCGCGCGGCAACACACACAACAGCAGCTGCACAGCCACTATACACACACACACACACACACACACATTTACATAAACACAAACACACACACATACATAATATATAGTATAGTACTGCTGCTTACTATAAATATGCAGGAGAGTAGAGAGATAGTAGGGAGGGAAAATATTGGCATATTTATCAGGATATCAACGGAAATTTTTGCGCGAGCTTGGCAATTTTTGTTTGCCGTCGGAGACGCTTTCAATGCCAGCACCCTCCTGCCTCCTTCTCTTCCTCTTCCCCTCTAGAACTGCCTTTAGCGTGTGTGTTGCGCACAAAACTTAAATCAAGTTTGATTTTAAAAGTTTACGCTCCCAGCGGTAAGTCAAAGAGACAGCACGCCCGAGACAGTGCCATGTTCGAAAGGCAACCAACTTTTACTTTAACTTAACTCATTGATCTATCTATGTGCTGTCAATATTTTGCCTGTTGGCTGCTAGCTGCTGACAAGTCGCAGTCTTGGGTAAAACTTTCAATTTAATCACCGATTGCCAATACAGTCGAAAACTAATCTGAGGAAGCTTTGAGAAAGCACATAGCTATGAACTGATAACTAAAACGCTTTCGTCTGGTGAGTGTGCTGGAATTGATTTAAATAATTAATCAAATGACTAGTTAGGTACATCGACCTATAAGAGGACGAGGTTCTTAAGCCTTTGTCTACCCATTAGATTCATATTTTTGCAAAAACTAAACATAACAACAACATGGCAGGTTTTTGCATCTTTAGACATCAGATCTCTGCACATCAGATCTCTGCACATCAGATCTCTGCACATCAGATCTCTGCACATCAGATCTCTGCACATCAGATCTCTGCACATCAGATCTCTGCACATCAGATCTCTGGACATCACTTCTCTACACATCAGATATCTACACATCACTTCTCTACACATCAGGTATCTACACATCAGATCTCTCCACATCAGATCTCTACACATCAGTTCTCTACACATCAGATCTCTCCACATCAGGTATCTACACATCAGATCTCTCCACATCAGGTATCTACACATCAGATATGTACACATCACTTCTCTACACATCACTTCTCTACACATCACTTCTCTACACATCACTTCTCCACACATCGAAGCTCTACACATCATATCTCACATCACATCAAATCTCTACACATCAAATCTCTACACATCAAATCTATACACATCAGATTTCTACACATCGAATCTATACACATCATATTTATAAACATCAGATCTGCACTTGAGATTTTGTTTCAATGAAGCTTACATTTTTATTCCCATTAATATTTGTTCGACCTTTGATGTATAAACGAGCTAAAATGTTTACCACTGACTGCTAGATGTTTCAATTACTCTTAAATCATAAACAGGATGTTTAGAATGGTGTAGATTAATAAATTCTTAGAAGCCAAACATGTTAGCATATCCTCGACATATTAATAGCAGAAGTTATTGAAATTGGGAAACTTTATCAAAGCCAAAGTTCAGCTTAACTTACATTTCACTCGCTTGGGCGGCATCGTCACAGCATCTGCTGTCGGTGCTATTTTCTGGGATTCTGTCTCCGTTTCCTCCTGCTTTTGTGCCTCAATATCGGCCAACCAATTTGTTGTTGTCTGCACTTTGCTCAAGTCAATGGCAGGTGGCGTCAGTTTTCCAGCTTCGGGGGTGCAAGGACTCAGCTCGATGGTGGGCAGTAAGGCGCTGGCGCTACACTCCTCAGAAATGCTACTGCAGAGGTACAAATTATCAGTCCACCAGTTGGCGGCAACTTAAACAAATTAGTAGCCATAAATATATACGAACATTATCGAATTGGTGGCGCTCAGGGGCCGATGATGATGTTTTGGCTTGTTGGACCTACGCATGGACATGCGCCGAAGGAACTGCTGAAAGCCGCCTCGAGTCGGTAACGTCTCCTGCAGCTCATCCATGCCATCGATGGCCTCCATGGCCGGTGGCGAGGATGCGTTCCGTGTGACCGGCTGATGTTGTGACTTCGATTGTTGCGTTGCGGGCTGCCACGATTGGGCGCGTGCCCCACTCACCACACTTTTGGCTGGCGTCGCACTCACCAATTCATTCAGCTCTGCCCAATCCCCGCTGCTCGATGCATAGCTGCTGAAGCTGGCAGTGAGGACGCTGCGTCTCAGGAAATCACCGCTGCTGGCACTCGACGTCGATGTGGCTGTGGCTGTGCTTATCCCACTCAGACGATGGCACGAGTTGGTGGAACTGCCAGCACGGGTGCTGTTCGTGCGTCGCTGCAGCGAGGCTGGACGACGCCGGCGTCGCATTATGACATCCTCAGTCTGGCACTCATCAATGGGCAGCGGCACATCGTAGATGAGATGCCGCGAGCCATAGACGCTGGAACGTTTGCGTTGCAGCTTAAAACTGCTGCCATGATGCAGTCCCGCACCCGTGCCGGGCAGTGTCTGTGTTTCACAGAGGATTTAATATTAAAAAGGGGCTTAATGCGCAGCATCGCCGAGAGTTAAATACACTTTACAACAATTCTTTGGTTTCTTTCATTTGTAAAAAGGATGACATTCTTATCAAATGTCGCTCATAAACATTGCGACATAAAATTATTCCTACTAGTTATTAAGAAATATTTCATCCAAGTCCAGACCCAAAGTGTTAAAAAAAGAAATGGTGATTAAATATTTCGTTAATCCGGTTTACTATAGATTGTTAATGTCATCCAAATTAATCAGGATTTTTTAGACTCGAAATTTGTATATTCTTTTCAAGGATTTGACGCTCATTTATTAACCAAACCAACAATTCAAAAGGTCAAATAAGGAAGTGCTAATTAAATATTTCTTTTATCCAGCTTACTATAGATTGGTAAGTGTATCATCCAAATAATATCCAAATAAATCAATATTTTTTAGACTCGAAATTCAAATATTCTTTTAAAGAATTTTTCAAGATTTTTTCAAGATTTTTTCGACTCGAAATTTGCATTTCTTTTCAAGGATTTGACGCTCTTTTATTAACCGAAACCAACAACCCAAAAGGTCAAGCAAAGAGGTGGTAATTAAATATTTCGTTAATCTGCCTTAGATTGGTAAGTGTACCATCCAAAAATGATCAAAATAAATCCAGCTTTTTTCGACTCGAAAATTTCATTTCTTTTCAAGGATTTGACGCTCATTTATTAACCAAGGCAACAACCCAAAAGGAAAAAAAAAGGAAGTGGTAATTAAATGTTTCTATTATCCGGCTTACCTTAGATTGATAAGAATATCATCCAAATTATAATATTCATATAAATCCAGATTTTTTCGACTCGAAATTTGCATATTCTTTTCAAGGATTTGACGCTCATTTGTCAACCGAAACCAACAACTGGTTGCAAGCTCTTCACAATTGTGTATGGGGCACTTGAGAAAGTGTATTTATGCTCACAACAATGGCCTTTGCACACTTACCGCGGGCAACTCATCATCGTCGTCGTCGTCATCATCGTCCTGCCTGTTCGCACCATCAACAGCATCCGCTTGCATGTTATTACCCGACATTGACACGGTAGCGCCAACACCTCCACCATCTGTTGGCACATCGAGCTCGGCAATTGTGCTCGTCTCAGACGTCATTGAAATCGAACGCTGTAGTCCCAATTTGCTCACGTTTTTGAACAGTTTCCAGCGTTCACGTGCCGTGCGTTCTAGGGAGGCGTCGCTGCTGTGAACAGACCAATATTGAAGCGAACAATTTAAACTGTCAAGCTGTCCGAACACGCTGCGATATCCTCTTATTGTTCGGATAATTAAAAGGCGGACGGGCAGACGGGCCTTGCCACGTTGCGTTTTATTGTGCGTCATAATTGTGGCAGTCGGGCTTGGGTTGGGCTCAACTTTAAGGAGCGTCGAATCTGGTCTCGTAAGTGGCCAATAAAGTTAATTTATGTATCAATAATTCGACTATATTCTGAAATCGTTTTATGTCAGCTCAATTATTAAGGCTTTGTAACCATATTATGGACTTTTCAAATGCTTTTTAAATTGGTTGCGGCTCGGGGCCTGCCTGAAATTACAGCTTTACCTTAAAAGCATTCACCATTTGTTGTATTTAGGAAATAAACTTATAGAATTAATGTAATCACTCAACTGTTTAAATGTTTTGTTGCAATTTGTTGGTTATGCAAAAGAGCTAGAAAAAATTAAGGGATTAAGAAACCCTCTTCTTGAAAATTTATTTTCTTTAAATATGCCAAATTATAGAAAGAACACCACCATTTATTGGATTAATTAAATTTTATGAATGCCATTCCATTATTTAGGATAAATAATTAAAAACTCAAAAATTGAAATGTTTCTGGGCTTAAAATGTGAATTAAAAACTATGGTTAAGCACTTTGGAGATTAATATTCCATACACCGATAAAACATCCAACATCTTTTATTAATTATTTGTACCAGAATTGTTTCCGAGTTTCCAAACATAAATAAAAAAAATATTTTTTAACAATTTCAAAGATTCTTTTAATGACCTGAAGGACTTAGCGTTGGCTAAGGAATAACAAATCTTTATTGGTGATATTTTGATATTGGTGATATCTTTTAACAATTCCAAATACTATGTATCCTTTCATATCTTTTATTTCTCTTCCTTGTCGGTGCTAAGAAATAACAAATCGTAATTGGCCATATTTTCAAACCGTTTCTTCTAACAATTTCAAGTACTATCTTTCCATAGCCCAATCAAACATAAAGAACATGTTTGTTCTTCAATTCCAGCAAAGTGGAAGTATTATTAAGGTGGAAAAATATATATTTCTGGAAGCCTGCAAACTGACCACACAAAAACTATTTTCATTTAATTCAGTTCTGTCCGACATAATGTTGCCTTAAGACTTTTGTTTTTGAACTTCCTACTTAAACACTGAAAAGCCTTGAACGTATATCCGTACGAGCATGGGTAAAGGGATTTTTTTTTTTGAGAATAGATATTCAGCGCAGACTGGGTGCCTCTACTCACTGTTGTTGCTGGTTCTTTGCATTTGCTTTGGCAATTATTGAGTTCCATTTGGCGATTATATGCGGCTGCTTCAGCTCAATATCCTTGTAACTGCCGCAAGCCTGCAGACGACCATCTTTCATCACAATTAACTGACAGGCACCGAAAGGCAATGGCAATGGTCGTAAAGAAGCGGCAAACCAAACGAAACGAAGGCATGAAATTAAAAGAAAAGAAATTGAAAATGTTATAAGAACGAAGCAAAAAAGGTGCTGGCAAAACGCAACGTCACAAAAAGCAATAAATTCAATTTCAAATTTGAAATTTTTGGCGCTGCTGGTCTGCTAAAATAATTGTAAAAAATTGCTAAAATGGACACTCGCCATAAAGCCGAAGCAGTAGAACAGAAAATGGGTGAAGATGGGAGCATGGCCGACAACAAATGGTCTTTCCAGGCAATTGCATTTATGGCCAAAAGGCGATAAATGCGCAAAAGTAACAAACGGAAGCTCCACACAAAATGTGAGGATGCCTTGGGGCAGTAAATTGAAAAGAAAGAAAGCAAAAATAATGAAGAAAACTGTGGCAGACGAGCAAAAATTTGAATATGAATTGCTGCTGTCTGGCCAGCAATTGTTGATTGGCATTCGGACAGTTAACTGGCCAGCCTGTAAGTAACCGCCAACCAGCAGTCCGCAGCCCGCAGCCCACAGCCCACAGCCACTTACATAATCCGCCTCCTTGATCAGCTGTAATTGCTGTGTCACCAGAATGATGGTTCGATTCGATTTCAATAGCATTTGACGCACACACTGCTCGAAAACATGCCGCCCCACTTCATTGTCCAGCGATGACAGCGGATCGTCCTAAAAATAATAGAAAGGACACACATTTAATGACACGCAGCAATAATGAAACTTATTTAAGTACTTCTACTAGAGGTAGGCTTGGGTCGTTATATGTTTGTACGGGTTTCTTGATTCAAAAAGTCACGCAAATATATGAAAGTAACGCAAACAATGTGTAGACGGATAGCCTTGGATAACTTTTAAGGCCCCTTTTCGCCGCCAGAGTCAATTAACTTAATTAGAAATTGTTCAAACAATCTTAATCCTTTGGCAGCTGTATTATATGGTGCATCCATTTTTATGATTCTTCATACTTTATTTTATATATTAAATTACCCAAAATTGGAAAACAGTTCTTTAACAAAACATTCTCTACAGATATTCACAAAACTCCATAAATTTCTGAACATTTTTTTAAAAAATATTTAAAAATTAAACAAGTTCAATGTGGATGACCACTTTTTGATTTTAAGCATTTATTAAAAACCAGAATCAAATTTTATTCAAAAAATATAAGACTTCTATATTTTAAAAATGGAATTTAACTTGACTGTAGAAGCACAATTATTGTCTCTATTAGTCCAGTTTTTGTGACTTAATATAACCCTTGGATAGCCTTTAAAGCGCCATTTCCCCGCCAGAGTTAATTAATTCATTTGCCAATTGTTCAGTCAAACTTAATCCTTTGGCAGCTGTATGATGATAGTGCTTCCATTTTATTTTATTTGATATATTAAATTATGTTCAATTGGGAAACACGCTCTACAGATATTCAAATAGTTACATAAACTTGTAGACATTTTTTATTAAAAAATAAATATTAAATTGTTCAATGTTGATGCCCATTCAGAATCGATTATTCAAAACATATACTTTTATATTTTATAAAGTGCATTTAAAGTACAATCAAGTATAAATATTGTCTCTATTAACTTTTTGTGACTTATTTGCCATATCTGCAAATAAACAATTAAATGATTTGCGATACTCTTAATAATTTGATGTAAACAATTTATATTCTTCTATGATTCGATTTTGATTCGAGTCTTTGAAAAACCTTTTAAACAGATTATAGGTAACATACATGGTCAGTATGACGGGACAAATCGATGTAGATTAGTTTGCCTATCTGTTCTTATGAAATTTTAAAACATAACAGCTGGGGGACTTTTGATTATGAAGACATCTTAAACAAACTTGGTATATATATAGAAAAAGTCGTAGACAGTACCGTACTCTTTATTTATAGTGTCGCGTGTTTTTCGTGCCCAACCCTAATCCCTAGGTATGCACAATATATGGCAGGCAGGTCATAAAACTTGTTTACGCTGCAACAAAGTCTAAATTTTTTACTGCAACCGAGAACTTTTGATAGCTCAAGTAACTACGAGCCCTGATGTCTGAAATTGGCGCCATTTTGTTTTTTACTATCAATGGGCACTCGTGCGTCTGATTGGCCCTCATTTATAGCCCCAACTATCACCCGCCATACACAAACACACACACACACACACACACACACAAGTACAGTCAGCTACTTACCATGATTACCACATTAGCCGATGAATAAATGGCACGGGCTATGGCAATACGTTGCCGCTGGCCACCGGACAAATTGATGCCCCGCTCGCCAATTATGGTGAAGTCGCCATGGGGCATTAGTTCAATATCTGGCTTTAGTGCGCACGCATCCAGCACAAAATCGTAGCGCTTGGGTCGGAAGCACTCCCCGAACAGTATATTCTCACGTATGCTGGAGTTCAGGAGCCAAGGCTGCTGAGGCACATAGGAAATGGTGGAAGTCCTGCAGGCATACAAAATGTGGAAAAATTTATAGGAAATACTATATACAAAAATCACTTTCATGTTAAAAAGAAATTCAATACAATGAAAATGTATTTATAAAATTCAATTTAATACGATGAAAATGTAATGCTTATTCAGAAAACTTATCTCAGTTGGGCTTCATACTTTGATAATTAAAGTTAATCTTCATGATTCAATTTCATCCAAAAGGTAATCTTTTTCTTAATTTTTAATTCATCCAATTTCATTCATTAAATGCATTCATTAAATTAGAATACCAACCATTAAATTAGAATACCAACCATCTTCCATCTTTTTCAATTCCTAGTATCTGTAGTTTTGCTTTAAAAATGGCTATTGATGAAGCCTTGTTGACTCTTCTTAGCTTCTCCTAAAAACTAGTTATTTTACCACATGGTGTACGTTCTACCCTAAATAATCTAATTAGCTCTTAAATAGAAGAAAATTTTCCCCCTTCCACTTAATTTTTTCTATCATCTTTATACATTTCTGGTTTTAGGTCTCAGAACGTCTCCGACAATATTACATATGGCATAGAATGGCAATATTGGTAGACGTTTTTTTTTAAATTTTGTACGAGTGTGTTTAAGACAAGTATGTCATACAAAGATCATTTAATATTATATGAACTCTATACTCAATGCAAAGTAATTTGAATTTGCTTTCTATATATGTGTGAATTAGTAAATTAGTTTTGTGCTGAAATTAAATACAATTTTATATTCTGTCCTATGTGTTTGTTGACCCAACAATTACTCGTATATTCTACATTTGAGAAAGCGTCAAATCAAGCATGAAATTATTGAGTATGCAAATATATTATTTATTTATTCTTCGTGCAAGGACTTGGAAGCAATTCCCGGCCATACAAAATTTAATAGTCTGTTGTGTAGAGTTCTTCAATTTTGTAATGCAATGCCCAAACATTTGCATGCAATGCAAGTCGCTTTAATTAATTAGCTGCAATTTAGTTAAGCGGCTTATTTGTAATCGTTTACTGTTCACTGGTCGTTGAATAAACCGCAAGCACTGTTGAACGAAGTAACCAATCACTGCTGATGGCCGCAAAATTGTCAAACCGCACACCAGAGACGAACATACGTTATTGACGTGTCAAAGCTAATTCCTATCACATCCTTTCAAGTGTTTTGTAGTGAAAGCACAAGTGTCTGTTGACTGCCTTTAATTCAATTAACAGTAATTGCTTTACAATACAGAAACCAAGCACATTAGTCTTTGAAACTAAATCTACATTTAAATTGATTGTTTCGAATATGTGGCCTCAAAAAAATTATAGTAGTTTAATAATGATTTAATTGGTTGCTCTTGGGTTTAAACAAACTTTTTAAATTCTTCTTGGCAAAGAATTGCAGCGAAAAGTAAGTAAATAGGAATGTTTTACGCAGATGTCATTCAATAAACATCTTGCAATTAGTATGAATTGGAATTACAGTTCCGTAGTCATATCTATTGGGTAGCCCCTCAAGCCCCTAAAGCATCTTTGTATGATATTTGAGGAAATATATGGGTCTGGGAAGTCTCTATTTCCCTTTTCCCTACCAAACAACACACTACAGACGACAGAGAGAGGGATGGAGAGAGATCAGCGACAGGAGGAAGATATACAGCAGATTCGAGGAATAAGACGGCGGCGCATTTATTTCTTTAACGACGTTTCTCGAAAGTAGTGCCTTTTCTAAATTAACTTTGAATTGATTTTGTATTTATAGAAATAGGAATTATTATATTTTCCAGTAGTCATATCTTTTCAGCAGCCCCTGAAGTGCGTAAAAAAATCAACTTTTTGATATTAATATTTGAGAAAATATGTGTGGTAGCGTGTGTGCAAAGTCTCTATTTCCATTTTCCCTACTAAACAACAAACTACAAACGAGAGGGAGAAAGTAAAAGAATGGAGTGAACGACGATCAGCGTCAGGAGAAAGATGTCCAGCAGTCGTAAGCAAGTTAGTTTGGCAGCCGATTTGGGGAATAAGACGCATTTATTTATTTGACGACGTTGAACTTTTGAATGCCAGTTTCTTAAGAGGTGTACCTTTGCTTAATAAACTTTGGATTGCTTTTGTAGCTATTTTGAAAGTGAAATGAAGAGCGAGTGATAAGCAATGCTTTTGATTTCTCCTAAAGCCAATGTAAGTGCATCACACATACGCACTGTTGTGCCGCTTAACACACTTTTGGCGTGCCATTAAATCACACTTTGCACCTCATGCGCTGCCACATCGCGCCTTATCCCTTTTTATATCTTGCGCTTCAAATCACAAAAACGCACACACTTAACAATCGTTAAGTTCACGTGCCCCAACAATCTATGCACCAAACATACAAACACACATATACATATATGAGTCTTGCTCCTACCCCACTCTCCCTCTCTCACTCTCCCTTTAACTCTGCTCGTCTCCCACGCTCTCATCGTTGAAGGTGTGTGTGTGTGTGTGTGTGCAGTCATATAATAAATTTTCAAGCCCAAAAAGAGAGCAACAGAGCAAAAGGCATCGCAACAACAACAACACACTTATAGACACACACGCACACAAATGCCGACATTTATAACAGTAATTGAAATTATTGCACATTTTGCGTTTGCCAAGCGGCGACGGCGGCGGCGGCGGCAACAGCAGCCAAGATCGTAGACCGGGACTTGTCGGCAATTGCACTCCTGCTGGCTGGCACACGATTTTCCTTGTTAAATGCATTTTTATAGGGACCCAGAAGCCACGCCCAACCTCTCTCTCCACTCCCTCTCTTTGCGTGCTGCCGCAAGACATATAAATCAAAGATGTGCGCGTTCAAAGATTGTTTGTCACGCGAAGCTCGCTCACGAATGCGAATATTTGCCTTTTTTCTTCAAGTAATTAAGTCAATTTATTATTACTTGGGAGAAAATGTGTGTTTTTTGTTGAGTTTTTTGAGGATACAGCAAGGATTACCGCGTTCTTTATACAGACCATAAATAACCTGACTATCCATTATTTACCAAAAAGAGCATATCGCCTGTAACTGTAACGAGACATTGCAGACGAGCCCGCTTTTGCCACAATATTTACGGTAGCTTGACACTTGACCGCCTGTTGGGCCTAACTTGAAACAGAATCAGCCGTTGTTGTTATTTTTATACAATTGTACAAATTCTTGGATAAGAGTCGCTTTAATTGATATGCGATGCAAAATTATGCAAATTTGTGTGCAGTCCAAGTGTTAATATACAATATATTTCATAGATTAACTTTATATTCCCCGTTGTAATCTCAGCTTAAGCTATACAACACATACACTGATAAAAAAGTTGCATAGTATAGTACAAATCAAACATAAACATCGTAAATTTTACTAAAAACATATTCAATTAGTGATTTTAATATGAATAATATTCCAAAACAAAGTGTAAATTTGCCTTATTAAATTAAATTTAATGTTGAACCATTTGAAATATTAATATGCACACACTTCAAAAAACAAATAGTTAAATTTACTATATTCCATAGCAAATTATAATATTTTTCTCAACTTTAATTTAAAGCTTTTTATAGTCGATTTAAATATACTAGAAATTTATTATTAAATTTCTATTGACTAGTATTCTCAAGTGGGTTTTCAGCGGTTGTGTGGTACTATAAATACAAATACACAAATACAAATACAAAGTACTTTCTGCTAAAAATATATAAATATAAATATATAAATAAAATATGCATTATGCAAATGTTATTATTGAAAAGAGTTAAAAAACCAGTAGAGTAGACAAAAAAATATTTTATAATTATAAAAATAAAACTGTGGCGTGAATTAAACCCACTTCTCCACATCATCACTTGTGATTTCATATCGTCACAATTTAAATTTAATATTTTAATATTAAATCGATAATAAAAATAGTTAAATCTACGAGTAAATATTAAATTTCCGTGTTTTTTTTTATCAGTGTATTTATATACAAATAGTATTCATTTTTGTATGTGCTTATGGCATTATAAGTAACGATCTACGGCAGGGCGCTATCATTTTTACAGCTCATTAAATGCATTAAATGTTTTAATTCAAAGCTTGTTGTACAGTGCGTATGAGTAATACAGAATACCTGTAGTACAAATTTTATGGGCCAATAATAAACACATGATTGGCACACAGTATAGTAACAAGTCATTGATAATACATAACGTTTAATCATTAAAAGCTAACTGTAACAGTTCCCTGATGCTGCATTTTAATTGAAACACCAAAGCATTTGAACGCAGCCCCTTGCCAAAAAAAAAACGCTACAGTCGAGCAAGCCCGACATTGAAATACCCTGTATCCAGGTACACTTCTGAAACTCAGGTATATGCGAAGTTGATGCTGCAGCTTGTGGGCGTAGTATCGGAGTAAAATTTATTCGCTAATAACTATTCTTAGAATTAGACGATTTAGATGAAACAAAAGTAGATTACTGTGTATAAATTATGTGTACAAAGTTTGGTTATTGTAGCTTTTGAAAGGTGGACGGTGTAGCGGGGAAGGGGGGAAAGCCCAAAAATATTAAAATTAACTCGTGTACCCAAGGAACTAGGAGCATCTACATACCAAGTTTGGTTAATGTGACAGACGGACGGACTGATTCAGAATATTATACTTTACTTTTCCCAAACCTAATATACCCTTCTTACCCTACGGATACAGGGTATGAAAACACAATACAAGACCTAAAAAATCTTGTCCCTAATCAAGTGCATGGCTGTGCATTTAATAAAGAATGAAAGCGTATTGGACTTCGGAAAAGCGAATAACAGAAGGAAAAACCGGGATATTCACTTCTGATATATTTGTCATGCCTTTTGCAAACATATCAGTAATTTCTTGCCAAATAATGCTTATCAAAAATGCTGTCTTTATTGTTGTATAAAATGTAGTTTACCATTTAAATATTTCATAGCTTATCACGCAGCCATCCCTAATGCAAGTGCGTTGCGTTTGTTGCCTCAGTTGCAATGCTTTCTGGGCACTTTGTTACAGCTTCGATGGCAATGGCGTTGGGGAGTGGATTGTGGATGGTGGATGGTGGAGGGTGGAGGGTGGTGGCAGGCATGCTTTTTATTTCATGTGCAATAAAATTAACATACACAGACATTTTGTGATAAATTACCGAGTGACGTGATGTGCATGGAAACGACTCGGAAAATATGCTGAATGACTGCGGCAGCAACTGAAACTTTTGGCTTGACTTTGCCACTGCCAGGGCTGCATTTAATTTGAGAGTTTCTTCTGCGGTGCGCATTAAAAGTGAAATTGTGATTGCAGCAGCCACATCGGCAACGGTATTAAGTGCCAGAAGATGCATTTGCCATGCAACTGACATACAAACACACTATACATCTGGCAGCGAGGCATGCAACCAACGCCATGGCGATGATGATGAGTATGTTGATGCCTTCTGTGTTAAAGTGGCAAAGATATTTCAAAGGCATTTGTGAGCTGTCCATTATTTTTTTGTTTGCAACTGTGGCTCTGTTTGTTGCATTCAGTTTAATTTGTTTAACGGTGCGAATGCGTAACGCCTTTTAATACTCAACAGCCACAGAATTGCCATCCACAGACTTTTGCAGCTTAAGAGCGCGAGCAAACTGTTTGATCTGGCAGCAGAAAAATGCATTGTAAACAGAACTTTAAAACTTCAAACTGTTGGAAAAAAGTGCGAACTGGTTTTTAAAGTAGTGCAGAGCTTGTTTGGGACAGTTGAAGAACCAATATCTTTAAAAACTGCCACAGTCTTACAAACTTGGTATATTGTCTATACTAGTAGATGGGGACCAGTGTGGTGACCAGCTGATTCCTAAACTAATAATAATTTTACAGGCCATAGTTATCAAACATTATTAGAAATTTAAACTAATTTATTTAATTACGAAGATGAACAAAAACTTCTCTCAATTTCAATTTAGCAACATGACTTTTTTTCAACAAATATGTAGTTGAATTACTTGAATTCAGTTTATTCTGTTTACATGAAGTTAATCAAAAAATTAAAAGAAAATAATTTAAATTCCTTAAACCTGATTCAACAATTATTTGTATAAAACTCATTCCATTTATTAGGGTTTTAATGAATTTATAGGCGTTTAAAAATGACAGCAAAAATTAGCAAAAGTTTTGGGTTAAGCAGCTGATCGATGAGGCTGTACTTAAAAGGCATACACGTATCTATGCCTTCCAAATAAATTCCCAAAACGCTTTGCATATAAAAAGCATTAAATGCCAATGCATTTTATGGGTAACGCCGAAATGTAGGCAGCACACACACACACCCACACACACCCACACACACACACAAATATCGAATCGGGAGGCCAATGAAAACTTGTGAATGTCTGTACATAACTAACATATATTGTAAGAGGAAATTTATTGGAAAGCCTTTGCTCACTTTCCGGTTTTGGGGGGCGGAAATAGAGTGCGGTAAGCGGATGTGGCTTATTGCATTTTATTTATGGCACAGTTGAAGGGCAAGAAAACTTGCAAGAGCCGCTTTGTATGCTTTGCGAAATTGGCAGCTGCATGCAAAATGCAAAATGCAGTCGAAAAACGCAACGGGGACCTTCCCACACACCCGCACGCATGTGCCAGCATTGCAATGGGCGCACAATGGCAAAACTTTAATTAAATGCTGGCAAAGCAAGAAGTGAAAAGGAAGGGAAAGGAAAGGAAAGCGAATCGACACACGTGGCAGGGCTCGGCAAAGCTCATGTTTTTTCAATGTACAATACAATTGGGGGGAAATGCATACTCGCATAAGCTTCAAGGTATGCAATTAAGAGTTTTGTTTCTCCAGTCTTTCGACTAAAGTGCCAGCTGTTGCTGATGCAAAGTTCGTGCCACTTCAATGTAGTATGTATGTAATATATGTATGTACACTGGGGTAAAAGGAGAAAGCAAAATTATAATCTCGGGCAATTTTGTGGTTCATATTTTTAAATACTTCTTGTAATTGAGTAATAGGGAAATTCATTCATTATATAAATATATATGTGGGATGGAGTGTTGTTCCTTTTCCCTTTTGCCTTCCAAACGACGCCCTGGACAACAAGCAAGAAGACGAACATTCGAGAAGAAGACGAGAATAAGACGACGATCAGCGACAGCAGGAAGACGTCCGGCAAGAAGGAGGTTGAATTCAAAAGACGACGAGTTCGGTACTTGGAACGCAGAGCCAAGGCGTGCATTTTTGATTTGATGTTAAACGATGTAAGCTAATTTAATTCTATCAATTCACACCTTTTCATTAAATAAACATTTCATTATATTAAAAAAAACCCACATTTATATCATAATTGAACAAAATCAATAAAGAAAACTAATTTGACAATGAAAAAAATGCAGATCACAATTTTTTAAATTTAATAAAAAAATACATTTTTGCTAACAATTTTGGACTATTTTTTATTATAATAGAGACTGTAGAAAAGGTACTTATATTCATAAATTTTTTGCTAATTGGATACTTTTAAAATCATAACGAAAAACAGGGGTTTTTCTGAGTGCATTTTTGCATAATTAAGCATATTCTCAAGGTAACTAAACAAGCGCCTAAAATTATGCAATAGAATATTTTAAATAGGCAAACATGCCAACTCACACAGCCACACACCTTGCGGCCGACCTGAGGCCAACTGGCGAGAGAGGGCGCCACTACTTCCCCACAGCTGCTGCTGTTAACATAACAGTAAACGAGCGCATAAATAACTAAAATATTTACACGGCCAGAGAGGCTTGTCGGTTTCTGTTCTTGTTGTTGTTCTTTTTACGGCTGCTCTTGTTGTTGTTTCTCTAGTTAATATTTGTTTGCATACAAAACGTGCGTAATCAGGCCGTCGCCTGAAGAGGGAGGAATCCAGCTTAAAAGGTTACTTCCCTACGCTTAATTAGTGGGCCACCACTTACTAAAAAAAAAAGCTGTCGCAGTATGAAACTTTCCCAATAAACCGCCTATCACCGTAAGCTGTTAAAATTTTAGTTTGTGGATGTCTGCCCGCGGAATTATCTTGAACTTATGGAATCCCATGCAAGGTTTACATCACAATACAGCAGAACCAACCAAAAATACGTGTTTTATCTAAAACATAGCACTCTCTATGCTTAGAATACGACTATTTTGCAGTGTTATTTAGCAGAAACTTAATTAAAAGTGTTCAACCATTTTTGTATTCACAGAAACTTAATAATCTTTGCTAAGCCCGTAAGTAGTAAGAAGTTAAAGCAATTTGTTTTTATTGTAAAAGAAAAAACTATAAAGAGCCATTATTTATGAATATGTATATCAGCTTTAATTTTCGAAATCCATCAAGTCAGAAAAGTTTTAATTATACTTATAAACCAAAGACAATAAACGGAATTATTTTTGAAACGAACAAGGACAATTGTGGTAATAACTACTTCGACACTTTAATGACACGCAAAGAGCACTCAAGTTTTTTGAAGGATAATAATCATCAGCAAGGAGCTCAACTGTTGTCCAATAAAAAGGAAACGAGTTGACAGGAAATGTTCTAAAGAAACTAATTTCACAAAATTTATAAAAATCATTAAAGATTAAGGCAAACACCCACTTAGAGCATGTAATTAAAGCTATCAGTTAAGTGGCAATTTCATATCTCGACGCCAGTGTTGCACGTTGCTGAGTGACAGCAATGGCTAGATGAGCAAATGAAAAACGCTAGAAATGGCTAAATATAATGAAATGCTGGTAAAAGCCTGACCTTTCCATGAAAAAGCTAAGCTCGAACTTAGCAAACTCTTTTGTGGCCACCTTACATTAAATATTGGAATTAAAGCATTCAATTTAAGCAATTAATCGAAAATTTGTCATTTAATTTAATTTAATTTATTGCTACTCACTTGTGCCAGAACATATTCCCCGCCAGGAGAGGCATTTCCATTAGCAATGCCGACAACAGTGATGTTTTGCCTGCGCCAGTTTTCCCCACAATTATCGTAAGGCCACCCTTGGGTATGGCCATCTCGAGGACATGGAGCTGGACGTGCGGCAGTTGCTGACTTTGTGGCTGCCAGGTGAACAACCCATCGTTAATGGATACTGCAATATCTTCGGGCATCTTGAGGAGCAACGAATCACGACGCCAACTGTCCGTATTCCGTGCGCGCACCACCGAAAACTGGTCTACGCTTTTGTCCAAAGAGCCAGCGCCCAATTTGGGCGGCCGTATGGCCACATAGGGTGTATTACGTAGGAGCTCGCGGCGCTGCTGCACAAGCACCTTGTGATGACGCTGCTCATGGAAAAACGGATTCGGGGCTTTCTCCTCCGATGACTCGCCAGTGCTCTGGAGTAGCGGCGTGATGGGCTCCGATTGTGCCAAGGGCGCCGATTGCTCAGGAATGCGAATCCGCAGGGCCAGTCGCTGCTCGTTCAACTTGTTCTCCGCCTGGGCCGTACGCATTGTCAGGTTGGACTTCTCCTGCGTCTCGTACATATCCAGGGAGGCATCGCTTTTGCTCAGAATGCGCGCCATGTTGCGTATGCCCTCGAATTGTTTTTGGATTTCTCGTGCGTGCAGAAAACGTTCTAGGCGACGTGTCGAAACACGCGCCTCAATTATAATTGGCACTGTTATGGGAAAGATGAGCAGCGGAACCGTGAGCTGTTGGAACAGCGCCAGAGCGGAGAACAAGCGACTGGCATCCAAATCCAAGTTCCCATTACGAGGTAAATACACGTAAACGGCCAGCGTGACGAAAGTGATGAGTACCGTGGAAATGTGCATGAGAATCGCTGAGAACGACAGAAAGAGAGAGCAAGTTTCAATAACATGAGCAGCACTTTTAAGTCTCTGTTAACTTAACAGACTGTTGTCTTAAAGCAGAAAAGGGCCACAGAAAAAGAAAACAAACAGAATAATCTTGATTGCTGCTTAAGATTCGAATTTGTTTGTATTTTATAAATCATGCTGGGTGGCTTACGTAAGTGCAACAAATTTAAACATAATATTGTTCACAGGCCAAACCAATTACTGGTAAGGATTTCCTTTATTGAACGAAACAAAGTTGTTTGGCTTTACGTTCATCATGATCATTTTTGAATAAATGCAAATAAGCTATTTACAAATATAATATACCTATGCGCTCTAATTTCAAAAGTTTCCATACAATCCATAGTTTCGTATTAAACTATTGAAACTATGCTGATAGCTGTTTAATGCATGGGTTTTCTCGACTGTTAACATTTCTCTTGTTTTAGATTTTTAATTTAAAAGAATGGAAAGAATTTATATTAAATTATTTCAAAATGTAGTTTCCTAACTTACTCATCAAAGTCCAGTACATGGCATCCTTATTTAGGTATTTTAGCTCCTTCTTTCGCGCTGCATTTATCTTCTTAAGAAAGACCTCGTCCCAGGCATTTAATTTAATAATTTTTATTCCTATCAAGGTATCGTGTATTCTCTTTAGGCGCTCATCGGTGTATTTCTGTAAGCATTGAAGATCATAATTTAGTTTAATAAAATTGTTTATAACTAAAACAAAAATGTAGATTAAATAAAACCAGTATTTACAAACAAAAATTCAAAAAGAAAATATCATAGAGCTCAATTTCTATTAACCCAGAAAAGCAATGAAATATATTTGAATCAATTAAATTAAATTTATAAATCAGTTTTCAAAAAGTAATATGCCAATTTTTGCATATGAAATAAAATAATTGCTATATAACTTAGCTTAACGAAATGTTTGAAATTGAATTTATTACAATTTAAGGTGCTTTCAACTTTAATGTCGGCATATGAAAGGTAATTATATTTATTATTTCAAGATTATAATTCTAATTGCTTATCTACCTTTTTCCCTCGTTCTAAGTTCCTTCCTTTCAATTCAATTCAAAACAATTTCTTAATAAATAAATAGAATTCGAACAGAAATAAAATTTTTCGCTGCAGACTTTTGTAGCTCCAATTCTATAAATGATTATAAAATGTATTTTAGTTGGAGAAATGATTTGTAATTGTTCATCTATATTTCCCCCTCTTTCTAATTTCCTTTTTTCAATTCAATTAAAAAAATCATAGATACATAAAAATCGAACAGAAATAATGTTTTTCGCAGCACTGTCTTGGAGACAGGTATAATTCTATAAATTATTATACGATTATAATAATTTTAATTAGACAAATGACTTTTTATTGTTTATCTATATTTTTCCCACTTTTTAATTTACTTTCTTTTTAATTTCAAAACAAACCCTTAAAGGAACATACATATTTAAACATTCTTTTTAAAAACATTTCCATTCGACACATAAATGTGTACAATATTTAAATAATTGTTGAACTGAAGAAAACTGTTTTGTATTTAACTAACTTTTAACGCCGTATTACATCTGAAAAAATGTCTGAAATAATAATGAACGTCTAAGCATGTCTAAACCCACTTAAAGCATAAATGTATAGTAATTGTAATACCTTTAAACAAAATTCGTAAAATTCAACATCAATTGGTGGCGAACTTTGTCAAATGAAAATGCACAGCTTGTAAGTAATTACAAAAGCCAAACTTCATAACCTACTTACTGAGAAGAGTGACAGCAACAATAGCCAAGAATGTTGGCCAAATAAAAACTCAACAGCTAGGTCAGCAATAACCAAATTCAATTAACTCAAGTCAGACAGCCAACAATAACTTTAAATTGACCACAAATCTGCTAACAGGAAACTTTTAATGAGCAACCAACTGCAGCAACAACAACAACAGCAACAAGTACAAAACAAATTCTCAACTCAACGCCAAATGATGGCCGCCTAGCAACTAAATAGCAAACAAAACTGACCAGCACAATACGAAAAGCAAACAGCCCGTAAGAGCCGAGCCTCACAAACCAAAGTCCTGTCCTTTCCTGTCCTGTCCAGTTCAGTCCCAGCTGGCAGGCAGTTGTCTGCTCTCTGGCATTTCATGGCCATAAAATTTGCCAAATTTGATTTCTAATGAAATTTGTTTTGTTTTGTGACTTTAATTAAATTCCCCCCTCGATGCTTACCGCTATCACTTCGGCGTTCTCGGACATGGCTTTGCCAATGAGAAATTGCAATGGCGTCATTATTAATATACACACAATGGCGCCAATCACCGCACTTATGCCCAGCTTCAGATACAGCAAATAGATGACCACGGATATCTGAAAGTACAAGTTAATTTTAACAGTTGGTTTCCACACTCTGAATAACAATGCTCGCATGCCAGATATTTGCATACAACTCGTACTTATATGCCTTTGAGGTAATTATGCGGTAAGCAGCATGCACTAATGTTATGGCATTAATTTATTTATTATCGGCATAATGCCAACTAAAGCTCTGCCACCTGAAAATCATATGTGTAATTCTAAAATAACAAACTGAACTAACGTTTGTGCCTTAAACATAGGCTGTAATGAGCTTCACAATAAAACATACACAGCTTGTCGTTCGCAAATATGTTTTGTTTGCTGACAACTCAATGGAAATTGCTTACATCAGAATGAAAATTTCAATTTATATACAGAGTTTGTTGTGTAAAAGCGAAAACAACAAGTAATATTAAATGAAAATCTACAGCAAATACTATACTTCCCTTAAGCTAAAAACGCTTGCTTTGAAAGAAGCCTTTTAGTATAATTTGTAGATGAGAAGTTATAAGGCCTAATAGTAGCAGATACTTTAATTATTATTATTATTATTATTAATACTAGTGTTCCAAAAGCAAAACACAAGTACATACTATTAAATGCAAATCTACAGCAAAAATGTTCCGTTTGCTCATTTCTGGACTTTGAAAGATGCCTTTTAGTTTAATTTGGCCTTAAGCCATAGCCTAATAGTAGCTGATACTTTAATGATTATTATTATTAATACTAGTCTTCCGAAAAAGGCATCTTTGACTTTTTAAATTAGCAATTTACTATTTGATATGACTTTTTAAATCTTCAAAACTATACTATATGTATTAAATAAGTTTAAAATTTACTGGACTACTGAATTTAATTTAATTTAATTAACATATTCCGCATTCGATTTCAGCCAAGTTTTCCAGAAAGGCAGCTTATGTGATTGTGATTATGTGTATAGTCAGACATATTTGTCGACTTGCACAAACATGATATTAATATTGTAATATTATAATAATAATTACACATTATTGTAATTTGATTGGATTTTTCCTTCTTAGGCTTTTCTAGCTTATAAGAGGCTTTTTAAAATTGTTATATATTTTCCTCCTATGTCGATAGTCATATGTTTGTTGACATAAATAAATACAAATATAAAATGAAAACTTGTTTTAGATGTAAAATGTTAAATAATAACAGTAAAATTAATATAGGAAAAAATTTAATTTATTACGCAAGCCCCTGAAAAAAACAAATTAAAGCCTACTTCAAACGTTTCGAAAACCTTTCATAACCATTTCTAACAATAGTATTCAAATTAATTAAGATCAAACGAAACGATCAAACCGACTTAAAAAAACGGACAAGGTTCTCAATACAACGTCTTTTTTTTTAAGCTGAGAACTCTGGTTTAGGTGAACCGATTTTGATGATTCTTGATTTTTTTTATTTAAAATCTGGTGCTTCCTTTCCAATTCTAACAATGGCATCCATGAGAAAATATGCAAAGACTGCATCGAGCATTAACTTGGTTCATTTCCAATAACCATTTTTACAGAGACGTTCAGGTGCATTTCGAAACTACTTTAAACATGCCTCATTTCCAGTTCAAATAGCTGAAAATTCTATTCCTAGACAAGATGCCGTTACTTCATAATCATCATCGAAACATTATGCCATTCCTGAGCAATGACAATATTACTCGGATAATTAAACCCTGTAAAGGGTAAAAGGGTAAGCTAGTTTTTGTACTAGCCGGTTTGAAGTCGGTTTTCATTTTGTTAAAATTTTACTTGTCTAGACACAAAGTTCCCTAATAGTATTTGTTTCACATTATTTGCAAAACTGTCGCATTGAATTTGTTTTTGAGCTTTTAATCTTCGAGAGACTACACCTGCAGAGTAAATGTTAATCAATTGATTGCTACACGTCTATACGAATGTCGCGCACTCTCTTTCTCTGGCTGGCCAGCGACAAATCGGATTTGAAATGCATACAAACGAGTAAATTATGTGGCAGCTGTTGCCAGCCAGTGTTGGGAAATGGGAAACACTTCACATTCAAATCGAGGAGCATCGCCACCACAACACTCGCCCAAACATTTACAAATCAATTGAAGCCAGCTGAGGTTGAGATTGAGGTTGGCGCAGCCATTTGCCAGGCATCGATTGGCTCTAGGGCCGGCCAAGTGAGTTTATTTGCACAACACACACTCACACACACACACACACACACACAAATGTACACAGCTGTGTATGTACTATGTAAACAACTCATAGCTAATTATGCCGAATCGCCAGTTGTGGATGCAAGAAGGCTAATAAACACACAGACACATTAAATACGAATTAATTATGCACGTGTACATACATACATATTTGTATATGTGTGTGTATGTATGTATGTGTGGCTATATAGTCGTATATTTGTCTGCGGTAGTCAAGCAACGACCTTCCCAGCTGCATATACTTATATACAGAAGTGTGTGTGTGTGTGTGTACTTAACTTAGCCATTAACTTGTTTGCTTAATTACATTAAAATCTCTACCCTTAAACTATTTAAAAAGTCATGCGCAAAATATTTACACAGAGCCCTTAATTCATTTAAATGCCAAATGCAAATACCAAAATGGCGAGCAAATAAAATTAAAATAAAACACAAAACAACAACAACAACAACAGCAAAAACGAAAACGAAATCAAATAAAATAAAATGCATCACAATTTATAGGCAATTACGTGCAGCGCATGAGATAAATCTGCCGAGATTAAAAACAACAGCAACAACAAAAACAAAAACAGTAAAAGCAAGGCTAGACTTCAAATGTTATAAATTAAGTTAAAGAAAACGTAGTACAATCAAATTACAATAGCACACGAGTGGCTCGTAAATAACATATTATGTGTTGCCTAGTTAGAGGCGCATTGCAAGCAAATCAACAAACAAACGAACAAACAAACCTTGAATGGTATGGCCCAAGCATAATGTGCAATCCAGAAGAACTGCATAATGTTTAGCGTGTCCTCGGTCATGTGATTCGTGATGGCTCCTATATCGTTCAGCGCTGTTCAGGGTAAAGCAATTGCAAGTGATTTATTCTTCAGATCAATGTTGTCTATAGTACTACACAAGTAGGTTGGGGCATTAAGATTAAGTAATGTTCGATGCATTGAACCCTTGCACACGTCGCCTTTAATCTGGCCACACATTCTGGCTATGTACAAATATATAGTACTTCAGCCGTAAAAGTTTCAATTAACACCAAACTATTGTGTACTTCCAACAAATATGTTGCATACGAGCTACAGAATAAACAAACTCACCGCCTGGACGATCCGTTGATTGTGTTGCTGCCTCTGTCTCTGCCACTGCCACTGCCACTGCAGGCTTATCGGTCGCCGCAGCAGTGAACTTAGTGTCACCATTTTGTTGCACAATAGTAGCAGAATTTGCCGCAACATCGTCGTCAGCATTGTTGGCAGAGTTGTTGGCATTGTTGCCACAACCGCTGGCGTTCAACAGCAAACTTTTGCGATAAATTAGACCCTGTAGCGATGTTTTAATCCTGATGCCCGTCATATTGAGCACATGCGTGGAGGCCTGGGACAATGCGGCCTGTGTGAGTGCGGCCAACAAAACAATCCAAGCGATGCTCCAACCATTTGTTACCAAATCCGACCAGTAGGCATAGTATATTCTCACGAAAACGTCCGCGTCCACATCAACATCAACACCATCATCAACATCAACATCAACAGCAGCAAAATCGGCAACAATATTGGGAGCATTCTGATTAGTTACCGCCGATTGGGCATCCGCATAGAGTACTTCGATATATTGCACTATTTGCTGTATGGCAAGTGGACCAATCAATGCAAATAAATCACCGGCCAGCTTTAAAATGCCGCCCAATGCAAACATCCGCCAACTATTCTTCATATAGCAATACCACAAAGATGGCGGTGTATTTGCGTTCTTCTGTAAGTAACAACAACGAAAATGTGGGTATCAGCCAGTGTAGGATCGCAGAAGGGGAGCAGAGTGTCGGAATTAGAGATGGACATAAACCAAAAGAGATATAAATCGATATTAGTCTGCCCCTTTTTACAAGAATTATTCCCATTTTGAACTGTCTCTAAGAGAACGTAATTTATTATGCCAAACAGTAACGATGACATCATCAGTAGTATCCATGGTTTTATTTTTCAATAACTAAGATATATATTTAAGCGACTGTGGAAGTTGAATTAAAACATTTCATCATTGTAGTATATGCTTACAGTCTTACTGGGTTATCTATTGAAAAATCAAACAGCATTTTATTATGAAAAACAAAAACACTTCATCAGCAAACAAAGATAAAACGATGACAAAGACTATCGAAAGCTATGTTCAAAAAATTTGTATATAATTTGTCTCAAAAGTAACATCAAATTTTTCTGTAGTACTACAACATTTTATTTTATTTAGTCGATTTTAATAAAATACTATTTATTTTAATATTCTTTTATTTAAAATTTTTAATTATTTAATCGATTTTAATAAAATACTATTTATTTTAATATCCTTGTTTATGCTCAAAAAATTTAACAGCTGACAATTTAATTTGCATTTGTTCATCTATCGTCAGCATTCGCGACCGACAAATGGATATGAAAACTGTACGAAATAGTGATCTTACATGGTCTGTCTCGGTATATAATCTGTATTCATAAAAGAAAATTATGGGAGGACCAGTGATTAAAACAGACAACCGGACAGACGGTCAGATGAACAAACGTACAAGTACATAGCGATTTGGATTCGTCTCGTCATGCTGATGTGGTCGCTATATAAAACCTTATGGACTTGCAATTTTCAATGAAGAGTACATATAGCAATTAATATGAAAAAAAAAAATATGTCACTCAAGCAACTATATTATATAATTTATTTCTTATATTCTTCGACTGCCATAAATTTTGATTCTTATTAATTTTATTTAAATGGCATCTACTATAGTATTGATAAAAAGTACATGCTTATTTTTTTAATCTAACCTAATCTACCTAAGTAAATAGATATACAAGATTGTATTGCTTTAATTCATATCATTCGTTATTCATTAACTTGTATTTTCATTATCTTTCCCAGCACCAGGCGTGCCACCTCTATTGGCCATTTTATGTACTGCCGGCGCGTTGCGTATACGCCGTGTTAACCGCGTTTTTAATTAACAATTTATGTATGCGTACACAAATTAATAAGCACATTAATGCATTTCAATTTGGCTGCTTTTCGGTTTGGTTGCGCTCTCGCAGTTCTCGCAATTTGTTGCAAGCCGGCGGTCATTTTGTCATTAAAAATGCATAAATGGCGCATATAAATTTTAACTCGGCAGCAACAACAATAACGTTGACAACAATAATAGCAACAACAGCCACACTTTCACTTTGTTATCAGCCAAAAATGGCTGCATGTCTTGCGTTGTCGCCATTTTGTAAGCATTTGTTGCTGGTGTTGTTGCTTTTGTATTGAGAATTTATGACCGTTGTCGGTGCATTTAAATAAATAATTAAGCAATTTGCTTGTTTCGCTCTTTGCAATGAAATAAAATATTTTCTTAATGGAATTTTTATGCTCGCCGAGCAGCCGCAAAAGCAAAAGCAAAAGACTCAATTGTGTGCTCACAGTTGTGTTTGGACTATATAGCCCAAAGCTTTTAATTATTGTTCATTTTGTAGCACTTTTAATTAAATTGCACTTAATGCGCGCAATATTTGTGCATCTCCACCTATTTATATTTGAATAACAATAAATTTATGCCGGCAACAACTTCAAATAGTCAACCATTTAATTAATATCTTATTGTGCTCATTAGTGTATAATTTTCCAAAGGAGTACCGCCAATTCGATAGTTTTTTTCCTGGCCATTAAATCATATTATCGGCACAGTATATTCTATCTTACAAATGCCACCAAGAAATATTGGTACTACTAGGTGAATATTAAAATGTCTATAAATTGTGCAAAGGCTAATTAAAAAATGTTTGTAGACGGATGAATTTTGAATGAGTTTTTTTTTAATGATAATTAGAGTTACATTTGATATCTACTCACCACCTTCTCAGTTTTGTAAATCAATAAAAAGTGGTCATAATGCGCACGCGCGCTATCCTCCAAACGCATTTGGCCCAAATCCTCGAGCTCCAATGGCACCTTATAGCCAAAGCGCAAGAGCGGCGTCAGCCACCAGAAACAGGACTTGGAGTAAAATGTGGCCAGTGTATGCTTGTAGCCTATTTTATCGTAGTCCTCCAAGTAATCAGGGCGATAACGCTGAAAAGTAAATTAAAATAAATGGTATTATATTTTTTACATTAATTGAAAAGACTTTATAATTAAAATGTGTATTTTCAACTGTCATCAAACAATTTTAAAAAAATACTATTAATGCTTATTGATGCAAAAGTATATTAAAGCTTGTTCACTAAATTTTTAATTTATTTCAAACATTTCTTACTTAAAATGTATTTATTTATTATTAGTACAAATGTTACTAATGGTTTATAAGAAATACGTAATCAAAGGAACGTTCGGATTCGTAATGGATGTAACTGGAAAAATGAAGTCGTGTGTCCGGTCGTCTGTCTGTATGAACCACAAGATCTTTTGAGCTATAACAGATGGGGATGCCAAGCTTGTCATGTAGACTTATTTTACGCATGGCCAGTTTATTAAAAAAAAAGTCATGTATAGTCTCAATGTTATATATATAGTAGTTACCATAGGTGGGTGTAAAAATCATAGAATACGTACAAAGATATTATAAAGAAACTTTTGTATATTGCCTCATGATATTATCTGAAGCTTAATAGAAATTATTGCAATATAGATGCCACTGAAATTACCAGCAATTTTGTGAAGTACAAACAACATCGGATATTAAGATCACATACAAACTTTCAGAACTAGCAGCCTGGCTACAAAAATAGAACCCGCACGACTCAAAAGTTCCCAATTTTTCTCAGCAAAAGTGAGCAATTGCTGTTCTTAGTTCATGATTAACCAGACGCATCAAAACATGCTCAGTCAAACCGCTAAGAAAAGAAAAAACACAAAACTTAAAGGCAAACATCGCCCTCCAACAACTACTCTCGTAGCATTATAACTCAAAAGCCTAAGCTAAGCGACACACACAAGTTGCTTAAGTTTTGCCCACGGATTTGTCTTGCTATAGTTTTTTTTTTTTTTTGCATCTTCCATTTTTTTATTTTCTGCGCCACGACGCCATTTTGTGGCCGCTTGCATGTGTCCTTGCCACTTGCAATGCTTTTGTTGCTGCCTGCTGTTGGTTTTATGCTTGTAGCTGGCCCGCTATTGTTGTTGCTGTTGTTGTTTGGTTGTAACACGTTCTTTGTGTGTGTTACCCAACGCCTTAACAATGGCACTTCGCTTGGCTGCTTGGCTTGGTACGCTTTTCTTTTTGGCCTTTTCCCATTCGCTCTTCTTGCTCACTCTTTTGTTGTCGCTGCCAGTTGCCAGTTGTTGTGGCATTTGTTGCACTTAAGCGCCTCTAAAGTAGTCGTTTTTGTGGCACTCGCCCGTCCGACACTTGTTTTGCCGCTGGCATGTGGTCAAGCAAATACACACACACACACACACACATACACACACCACATATATCCAAACAGTTAGTGCCTTAAAGTATGCAAAAGCAGCGAAACTGGCCAAAACTAACATAAATAAAATATTTGAGTAGCGAAAAGCTTTGAGTAACAAATCTGCGCTTAACCTCAATTAAAATGTAAACATATTAAAATCCCACAAGCACATCCCCTCCCCCTTACCACAACACTTACCCCACATTCTCTGTCTGCATCTTTACTGGATAACTAATCCCCTGTTAAATTAAATAAACCTTTGCATTGTCATCGCTGCCGAGTGCTGCCTGCTGACTGCTGACTGCCGGCTGTCGCTTCACTTTCGCTTTAGTTCGACTATATTTATTCAGCTAATTTTACGCCCAGAAGTATGCAAATGCGAATAACGCTGCACTCAGTTCGAGTGATGAGGAATCCTGTGATTTCTTAATCACAATATATCTGTCGGTTTGACCTGAGTATCACTCTATCCGAATCGCTACCATCATCATACCATCAACGCATGATTTAAATACTTCCTTGCAAATGTCAACGTATCGTGTCATGGCTAAATCTGTAGGCCAATTCGCTACAGAATATGATAATGAAGACAAAAATAAAACTGCATCTTATTCCACCATGATATGAATGCGATTACTATGATTTCCCAATGTTGTTTAATCTAATAAAACAAAATCTCAAGCCATACAAGAGTCCTTAGAATATCAAAAATGCAAATGGGCTTTGTTTGCTAGATAAAAATTTAATTTACCAACGTTTCCGCACAATTTTGTTTAAAATAACAATTAACAGCTGGTACAATGTGTGAGTTTTTATTTAACCTTAGCAGTTGAATATAAAATCAATCAATTCTCAACAGTATCTTCCTCTGTTATCCAATTAACAATAACAGCGACTTCTAAAAGCGACCGCAATAACAGGAACAATAACAGCGACTTCTAAAAGCGATCGCAATAACAGGATCAATAACAGCGACTTCTAACAGCAGTTGCAGTGTTTATTTAACCTTAACAGTTGAATATAAAATCAATCAATTCTCAACAGCATCTTCCTCTGTTATCCAATTAACAATAACAGTGACTTCGAAAAGCGATCGAAATAACAGGAACAATAACAGCGACTACTAACAGCAGTTGCAGTATTTATTTAACTTTAGCAGTTGAATATAAAATCAATCAATTCTCAACAGCATCTTCATCTGTTATCCAATTAACAATAACAGTGACTACTAAAAGCGATCGAAATAACAGAAATTCCAATGTTTCTTTAGCATTTGCAGCAAAATATGAAAAGAGTCGATTCTGAACAGCAATAACAGCAAGCTCTAACAGCAATTGTATTACATATTGTTTAAGAAGAGAAACAGCTCATAATCGTAATACTTTAGACTTTAGTTTAGCAAATATAGTTTCCCTATGTAAGGGTAACAATTATGTTAGGAGTTCTTTATAAGCGACCATAACAGAATAGACATAATAACATAGCTTTAACTATAAGTAGTAAGCAGTAGTGTTGGAAAAAGATATTATATTCGAAGACACACACACAAATACTTAAGTCGCTTTATTAGTAAATAAATAATCATAGTTTACATTTCCAATCACAGCGATTGCATCACAGACAGTGATTTTTTTAACCCAACACCACTGCATTGTTCTGCACTGCACATTTCCCCATTTCCGCCGCAACAACGAGAATAATAACAACAACAATAACGGTTGCATTGCTTGCATTTTGGGTTTAACGCTCGACGTGGCATGGCATTATTTGCGCTCACCCCCACTCCCCCACCCCCCTGTCACTTCCCCAACCCAGCAACTTCCTTTATCAAAATTATGCACAGGATGGCGGCGCGCAAATTAGATTCTCTCTGCTATTTCTTCTTTTACTCCACCTCTCCCTCTCTCACTCACCCTCTCTCTTTGCATTGGGATGTTGGCGGAAAATAATACTCGTAACTCGCAAAGTGGAGCGGCATTTTGTCAGTGCCGCAGCATCCGGTTCGTGATTTTCAAAGAGCTACTAGTTTTAATGTATATACCATAATGGTAATAAAAACAAAACATTGCTTTTAGAGTCGGCTCACAATTTTCTAATTTTTTAACAAGTTTAAATGTGATTTAAGTGAGTTTTTAAAGGATATTCTAATGCTGTGAAAGGAAATACATCTAAGTTTAAAGAAAGCAACGTTTTACATCACAAGAAACATACTTGTAATACCCAAAGAAGTCCATAATTTCCAAGCCCCACCCTTTTTTTAACTCACTACACCACACAGTATTAATATTTGTTTGTTCATTTTTTGTACCCTAACATAATCGCCTTCTTGACCGCATTGCTGATGTGCTCACGAGCTGCTCGCCTTGAAGTATGCAATGGTATTAGTGCAACGACCAGCGCATTGTAAGGAGCGCCTAAATGCGAAACATTTATTGTCCACCCACTAAAGTGCTGTTTTTTATATGCTAGCCATGCGCTCACCCTCTCCCTCTATCTCTCCTTCACTCTTCTGTATACTCTCTTATATTCCCTATATTTTTTTGCAGTCGCTTTTCTTTGCATAGCCAAAAAGGTAAGCAGACCGAAATCGTCTAATGTAACTTTAATGTTTTTATTTGCTTTGCTACTTTGGTGTGCTTATTGCTATGCGGCGGTTGTTGTTTGTTTTGGCAGTATGTGCATGTGTGTTGTTTCTGTGTGTGTGTGTGTGTGTCCTGTGTGGCAACTTTGGATTTCCGGTCTCAAGCGGAAATAATGTCAAGCATGAAGAGACACAACGAGTGAAGGTTTCTTGAGCGCTTTGCTTTGCTGCTTACTTGCCTGCTTTCTGTGGTACTTTGGTTGCTTAAATATTAAACAGTTCTTGTGTTTGTTATGTTAATATGTAATGAGATTTTACAAAATGCCAGCTGTGGCAGTGGCTGTGAGTGCTTCCAGCGAGAAAGTACAATACATCAACAAATGGAAATGAAAAGTAAGGTTTTAGTTCAATCAAACATCATACATTAATATTAAATGTGTATATAGGTTTGCTAATGTAAAACTAATTATAAGGAATGGGCTAAACTGTATTATCAATCGGAACTATTTTCTTTATTCATTCGAATAAACTTTTTTCAATTTCAGCTAATTTATGTTAAAGATGCGTTCAATTATAAAACTTCAAACCACTCCCAGCACAATTTTTCTCAATATCAATGATCAAGCATTTTCCAACACAGTTTTCCTTAAAGTCCACCAAAAAGCAGTTCTCAGCACTATTTTTGTTTTGACTCAATATACCTATATGTATTCCACTGTTTCTACAAATATTATAGACTATCAGCTCAACAATTTGCTAAAAATTAAACAACTAGAAATGAAGAGTTGTGATTTTTTTACAAATTGTATGTCTCGTTTCAATTGTTGTTTATTTGACGAATTCATATTTAAAACAATTTGATTTGGTATTTATATTTGAAATACTTAAAATGATCAAGGGTAGTATACTAGTTCGTTTCGCGGGATCATGCATTTTTTATACCCTGTACCCGTAGGGTAAAAAAGGGTATATTAGGTTTGTGCAAAGTATGTAACATGCAGAAGGAAGCATCTCCGACCCCATAAAGTATATATATTCTGAATCAGCATGACGAGAGAAATCGATCTAGACATGTCCGTCCGTCCGTCCGTCTGTCCGTCTGGATGAACGCGAGGATCTCAGAAACTATAAAAGCTAGAATAACCAAAGTTGGTATCCAGATTCTCCTAGGTCCGAGAAAGGACGAGTTTATTTTATTTTTTTTAATTTTCCCCCCCTTCCCCCGCGACAGAATTTCGTCAATAGCGTCCACATTTTAAATGCTACCTAAACCAAACTTCGCACACATAATTTATATATAATTGTCTACTTCTAAGAAAAGTTATTAGCGAAACAAATTCTCGCCAGTACAACCCCACCAAACTGCAGCAACAAGTTCGCTCTTCTTCTTCCTCTTTTTGCTGCTGCTATGGGCGCATATAACTCAGTGACGGAAGTTTACCTGGGTACAGGGTATTACACTGTCGGGCTTGCTCGACTGTAGCGTTCTCTCTTGTATATACTTGTACTTATATACTTGTACCAAAGTATATAAGTACATTTCGGGCTGCCCTTGTTTAAAACGAAGAAAATGAGTTTTATGTTTCATCTCTGAAACCTGCGAAACAGGTATTTCAGATTGAATATTAATTTTTCATGCATTTGAGCCACACACATACCTCTCTGTAAATGGTGTATCCGTCAATGGTGGCCAGGCCTATTAAGCTCAACATTGTCGAGCACGCGAGGAACATTTCCAACTCTAGCATATCCTCGTAGTAAACCAATTCGGCCAATTCGTCAATGCGCAGCACAAATATCAACACTTCCAAGCCCAAGCTCAAGTACAGAAACCCTGTGGAAATTAAAAAAAAGACAAATGATGGACTGAATAGGAAAAACACTTAACTAAGCAATTATCGCACACTCACCTGCCGCCTTCTTGCGCTCCACCAAACGATGATAGCACATTTGCATAATTGTGAACAGGCTGGCGGCAAAAGCGTTCCACACCGCTCCCGTTCCAATGACAATCAAAACATTCCGCTCGTCGGTCTGCTCGAAGAGTCGATTCAACTGCTCGACATGCCGTTGCGGCAACAGACTGCGGGCCACCTCCAGGCTATTAATGGCCAGGAGCAGCAGCGACACAGCTGCCCGTATATTATGAAATGTTAACAGAGTTTTATGGCACCTGCAATGGAACGGATAGAGATTCAGTCAGTCGTACTTCGCTATAACGAAAATCGCAGCCACCCAAGGCCAAATCCAAGTTTGGCATTATAAGTATAAACAATTATTTTATTTCTATTACAATTATACATTATTATAAAACTAAAATTTATATACAATAGAGCTGAAAACTATCGATTTCATCGATGGTTTTACTATCCTTTAAATAAACAATCTTTTCGTGGGTCGATCCCTACATTGGCTTGGAACTTGTTAATATTTAACGAAAAGATGTTTTCTTTATCCGAATTAGAAGCCGTTTAAATGGGATTGACAAATCAGTTCAGCGACTTTAATTTCTCAAAAGCATGCTTGCAATTCCAATTTTTAGCTTCAATTTATGTGGCGGCAGTCCAAAAGGGTTTAGAGAACTTAAGAATTCCTGTGGGTAACGGACTGGGTATTTGATATTAGTCACGGTGTCCAACGATTTGTAATCTTTTCTTTGTCTGTGGACTTTTTAATAATTTTATTTAAAGTGGCACAATATTTCGAGGATGATTCTGAACTAACAGCATCCCGTTTATGAATTTTTTTGGTAATTTTTGTACAAATTGGGCTACATTATTGGCGTTTTATTAAGGACTCCGATCATTTTTGCATATATAATAGAGCCTATGTTAACCGGGGATAGTGTAGCTTCCCAATAGTGAAAGAAGATATATTTTATGTATTCCAGTCACATTAACGAACTCCGAACGATTGTTTAGTAAGTGCAATTTATTCTGTTTAAAAGTAAGCCTCATAACGAGTTTTTACTGTATTTCACAAACAAAAGCCACCGCATAAACACAATATCAACAAATATATATTTTTTTAATTATCTGCGCTGAAGCAACAACGCAAGAAAGCAGTGAGTGGGTGATGTTGGTGTCTTAACGTAAGTGTTTTTGTTTTAATTGCCACAATTAACTTTGAGTGTTTATGTTGCCTAGTTATTCTGCGTTGCAGTTGTCTAATTGGCCACATTTTATAAAGTTTTTTGTACGGCAATCACGTTCAGAACACAGATTTGAGGTGTGCGAAGAGAATCTTTATGAAGCTTTGCTTAGCTTTAAATTAAAAATTAATATATGATAATGTATATATAATATATAATAATGTATAAACTATAGTAATTTTAATAACAATTTAATCCGCGGACGATGTAACGAAATGGAGTCCAACATAAAATCTAATATCTTATAATATAAGCGATCATTTCTTATTAGACGATTTAACGAAATAAAACCCAATATCTAATAATAAATTATAATATCTAATAATATCTAATAATAATAATAATCGCTTAAGTCTACATTTTAAATAAATTATAAAATAATAATATTTTGATTTAAAACGTAGATTTATCTACAAAAAGTGATCGTTCCTGACATTTAATAAGAATAATCATTAATTAAGGAATTCCTTCTTAATTATCTTAAAGGAAAAGCATTTATTCTGCAACGGGATAAAGCGCTGTACCGTAAAACCAAAATGATAAAAGACTTATTACATATAAATACATATATACATGGTAAACACATAGTCAAGACTTAATTTTAAGATCAGTCTTTCATTAAATAAATAAAAAAAGAAGATTCTTTCAGAAGAGAAGTCTCCAAGAAGCTACTAAAATCTTTGGCAGTTTCACGAAACCACTTGTTAGTTGTATTTATGACTTATAAAATGCTTTGAAATCGCACACTTAATACACTTTTTTAACCTAATGATAAATTTTTTTTTTTTTTTTTTTTTTTTTTTTTTACATATATACAATTTATTAAACTAGTTTTCTACTACCAATATGGCAGCTTAAGCTAGTTGAAAGTTAGGGAATACAAAAGTTGTCTATAGTAAGCATCTATAGGACGCACTTATATCTATGTACATATATACAATATTTACAATGTTTTACATGAAAAATGATTATATTTTATGATATATACTATGTATTTTATACAAGGGCTCTTGTGGGGAGATCCTTTGGATGGCACTTCTTCAGTCTTCTCTTCTTAGGTTTGGACAGGAGCCGCCTCGCTAGTGCGTTGGGGTGACTGCCGAGTCGCTTCTCGTAATTGCTTGCGTGCATTTGAATGACATCGCCAACCTTGGGGACACATAAGTCTCTTTCGATGTCCCTAGTGCGCATATACCAGGGAGCGTTGCATATTTTTCTGAGTATTTTAGCTTGAGCAACTCTTATTTTGTTTAGGTTTGAAGCAGCGGCAATGCCATAAATTGGTAGCGCATACTTCCATATTGGACTTAATATGGACTTATATACTGTCACCTTACTGTGCAGGGACAGCTTGTTGCATGGTGCAAGCAGCCATGCCATCTTTCCGGCTTTCGCCATGACCGATCGCTTGACCATTGTTGTATGCTTGCTGAAGTTGAGTCTTCTGTCCAGAATTACACCAAGATATTTGTGCGAATTTGTATGACTGAGCGTGGACCCCAACATTGTGATATCTCCGCATGACGACGGCCTTGTTGTAAATGTGACATTCGCACACTTGCTGGCGTTGATACCAATGTTCCAATTCAGAGCCCACTTCTCGAAACTACTTACATACTGCTGTAAGGCTTCCGAAGCTACATCGATATCTCTGCTTCTGGTAAGCACCGCAGTGTCGTCTGCGTAAGTAGCTATTAGTGCGTCATCCTCGTATACTCCAATGATCTCTTGCGGTGCAGGCATATCAGCAGTAAATAATGTATACAGGGTAGGACCGAGAACACTGCCTTGGGGCACTCCTGCACAAATTGAGCGCCTCGTGGATTTCACTCCATCAACAGCAACTCTGAAGCTTCTGTCCCTTAGAAAGCTTTCGATGAGTTGAAACAATTGAGGAGTTAGCATGCCTTTCAATTTGCAGAGGAGACCATCATGCCACACTCTATCAAAAGCTTGTTTAATATCCATAAACACAGCCACTGAGTACATCTTTTGCTCCATGGCTTCCAGGGCGAAGTTGACCACACGGTGGAGCTGTTCCGGTGTTCCGTGACTTCTTCGAAAACCAAATTGCCATTTTGGAATTCTGCGCGTCACGGCTTCGAGCTGGAGAATCCGGTCCAGAATCACACGTTCCATCATCTTCCCGAGGGCAGGTAGCAGACTAATCGGCCTATATCCATCTACTTCAGTATGCTGTTTCTCTGGCTTTGGAATCATCGTAATTAGCGCCATTTTCCAGCAGTTTGGAAAGTGCCTCAGCCTGAGTATGTTATTCATGAGCAAGACAATATACAGCAGAGCCCTTGTGGGGAGCAGTTTCAGCGTCCTGTTGTCTAAAAGGTCTTCTCCAGGCGCTTTTTTTACCTTTAGATTTTTTATCTGCTGTACCACTTCTTGAAGTGTAACTGGGCTTGCAGGCAAGGCCATTTGGAATGGCATCTCCAGCCTAAGCTCGACTACCCTTCGCCTATCTTCTGTTGTAAAGTCAAAAGGCTTAAATCTTTCCTCTAGGCTGTTTGCAAAGATTTCAGCTTTCTGCTGACTGGAGTAGCTCCATCCACCTGTAGGATCCTTAATTGGAGTCTTAGGGATGACCAGCCTCTTAAATCGCCTCGTAAGCTTCCAGAGCGAGTAATTAAATGATGCATCTGGACCAGCACTTTCCAATATGTCATCAATTCTGCCTTGTCTGATTTTAGCAAGCTCTTTTTGCAGTCGATTGGACAGTCTTTTGTAGATTTGATGAATGCGAGTATCTCCAGTTCTTGCATATTCTTTCCTGACTCTTCTTTTCAGGCTTAAGAGCGCAGCAGCCGTTGGTGGTAGACTAGCTTGACTATGTTGGGTTGGCAAGCGTAAAGTTTTCGGTGCAGCAGAAGACGCAGCCAGTGAAATGTTCTTCATGAGGATTGATATCGCGTCTTCGATATCCTCTGGGCTGTTAATTTCGACGTTCAGGTTAATTCTTCTTTCGAGATCGGCTTTAAAAACATCAATACGGGAGCCAGGTGGTAGAATATATTCCCTCTTGGGATTATATTGCGGTGCATGATGTAGCGTCGCTACTACTGGAAGGTGATCCGATGCGAGCTCATATTTTGTTTCAACGGTGAGTCTGTTTAGGGCAATCCTGTTGACAATAAAGAAGTCTAGTGCAGAGGGGTTAAGCCGTGTGTTGTAAGAGTAGAAAGTTGGCTCTCCAGTAGCAAGAACTTGGCAAGTAGTACTAGCTATGGCCTCTTGCAAACACCTTCCTCGCCTGCAAGATCTGGAATTACCCCACCATTGGTGTTTTGCATTAAAATCACCGCCTACAATAAACTTATCTCCTAAGGTTGCAAGCAATAGATCAAAGTCGGCCCTGCACCAAGCTTCATTGGGAGGAAGATACAGGGAGGAGACTTTGATGCTTCCACCATTCGTCGGTATAGTTACGCTGGCCGCTTGGATGCTTGTTTTTAGAATTGGCTCATTCTGTGAATGAGCGATACTTGATCTAATGATGACTGCAGAACCACTTTTAGCGGTGCCACTAGGATGATTAGCGTAGTACTGGTCGTATCCTGGCAAATATGCGTTCAAGCCAGGACGCATATGCGTTTCGGTTATTAACATGATATCGATCGAGTTTGAACTTAGGAAAAGCCTGAGTTCATCATTGTTTTTGACCAGGCCCCGTGCGTTCCATAATCCGATTTTTAACAGCGGATTTAACATTTGGATATTAGTTTTTGTACCAAGTCACGGAAGGCTCTATTGGAATCCATATTTTCCTGTATGAGCTTATACATTTGATCCATTCTTGCGTTTAGATCTAAAATCGCCTTTTCCAGCATACTAAATTTGTTGTTTAGATGCCAATCTTCGGCGGAACTGTGTGATCGGGGCGAGTTTTGGTTTGTTGGCGCGCTGGTACGTTTTTCTCCAATTGGCCTAGCTGCATCAGCATAAGAGAAGCCACTCTTAACAGTAGAGTTTGAGATAAACTGTACTTTAGTGCCTTGGTTATTTGGGTAACT